ACTAGCACGTGTATCGATTGAACACGTGTTCAACTTTTCACTCAAATCCTTATATCATTATCAACGGTAAACAGAACATTAAAGGTTTTTTTTTAATTAACCGCAGAAAAAGGTCTCGCTTTGCTCGCACCTAGATATTTTTCTAGGGAAAGTTCCCATATCTTAAAGATGAGGGAATCATCTTTAATATACATCAGAAAAATCCATAATTTTTGTCGTGGACAGACGTTTTGAAAGATGTTGAAATATTTATGTTTTTCTTTCAGGCCAGTCTGATTAATTATCACCAAGAGTGTGTCGCCTGGACAACGAAAGAGGGGTTAGTAAAATTGATCCAACGTTCCATTCAAACCGCTGAGGGCTGCACCAAAGTGATATTATTTATTTTGTTGTTAATGCGTCGCAATGTTACGAATTAAACGTTATATCGCGGTTATAAGTAGGACAATTTCTTAGATAAATATCAGCATATGGTGTTTTGGCCTTTAAAAAAACTAATTTCCCTTTTTTTTTTTGTACTTACGGTATTTTTAGTCAGGGAGGCGGAAAGTGGTCTCCAAAGGGCTGCAAATTAACTGGCTCCAATGCGACTCACACCACATGCGAGTGTAACCATATGACAGATTTTGCTGTCATGGCCAACACCAAGAAAGACAAGGTAAGGGTTTTCCAACTACTAGGAAAATCGCGAATTAGATAAAGTTGGACTGAAGCTCTTTGCGATTGAGTTTCGGAGGACGAAAAAACGAAGGAATCGCGACGACGAAAGAGAAAGAAGGGAAATATCATACGAAGTTGTGAAGAAGTCAAACTCGCTAAGAGTGCTAGAAAATGCAAGTGACCAAAGCAAAACTGGTTTGGATGAGAGGATGGTACGAGTTATCTAAACCAATCACAGAGTGCTATGAATAGATAATAAGCTAATGGAGGATTCTTTTGATACCGAATCCAGAACTGCACTAGGAGATTACCTGAACTGACAGAGACGTTATCTTTTAAGTCATGCGTTGGAGTTATTTCATGGTTTATGGGTGCCCCACGTTGATTTAGTCTACAATATTAGTTTAGCTAACTAGTATTGATTTAGCTTCAGTCACTCTGAATTCTTGAATTGTAAAAGTAATGCCATAAAACAGACGACTTATTGCAGCATATTTTACTCCTTTACAGGGTATTGGGACTCCGCACCCCTCGGCGTCGGTGCCATCACCAGGGGGAGGTCACGACCGTAGTTGGATTGGAATACTCGTGGGTATTCTGGCCGTGTTAGTTCTGATCATTATCGCGATTGTGTTACTCTTCTACTGGAGGTAAGTGTTGGTGGAAATGTTACACAAAGTCACATCATCCTGTTATACCATTACGTGTTTTGTAAGGTCGTTTTAGAATGTCTTGTCACACCATCATAGCTACAACCATGTGCCTACCCTTTCTAACCACCGGCAAGTCATGTCACACCATACATATCACTTCATGTCATGTCATGTCATGTCATTAACTTCGACAATACCATGCTCCTTTATACACATGGTGTAACGCTCTGCCATTCCCTGTTATGACACACACTTTCTTATTCAAGTCACCTTTATCTCACGTTTCAGGAAAAGAAGAAGAGAGCAAGAGCAGGGAGATACACCTCGTCCACGACCTCGAGGTATATCTAGGAATCTTTAAGAAAATTTAAGTTAAATATTGATCTTTAACAAGGGGCCTGAAATGTAATATAAACCTACATCAAATGGAAGATGTACTTATTGAATTTGAAATGGCCAGAAGTGCCATTTGGCCCGAGATCACGCACTGAGCACGGCTGGGTCCGTAGGTCCGTCTGTCCGTTCGTACTTCTCGTAATCAAAACACATTTTATCATACGACTGCTGCTCATTCCACTTCTTCGATTCCTTTCCTCTTTTCCTCTTTACGCTCGCATCTGGCGGGGCTGTACACAGGAACAGAGAGGAAGTTCTTGTGTTATTGCGACAGCCCTCATCCATTTTTTTTTTCTTTCATGCAATGGTTTTCAATCAAAGTGCGCACAGGCCGCCTAGGCATATGATAAAATAGCTTTCCCAACAACCGTGGTTTAGAAGTGTATGCAAACTTTAAGAGTAGACTGAAGTTCTTATATTCGATTCCTATTAGCATGCATTTGATATTATGATGGGCTGTTAACTGTTTTGATTTAGAGATTTGATGTCATCCCTATATCAAGGGAGTGAGATTCACCCATGAGCTAGTGCAAATGCACATATAAACTTTCTAAGCCTGTCATTGTTATTCTCTTTTTTCTTTAACTGAACAGGACTAAGGAGATCACGATCTCTTTCACGGTCTAGTGCCAAGCCATCTCGATCAAGTAGCTCAAAGGTTGGAGTTAAATTATACGATAATTTAGACTTTATTTGAAACACCAAGGTTGATTCTTGTACATGACTAGTCTCGTACCCACACCTTCCACGGCCAAGCGATCGCTACATTTCAGTTATAATTACACGGCAGGATCTGTGTATGAGATTAGAACATGACGTACAAAGGTATTGTTTTGATATTAATTACAGAGTGAGGGGGCCGCCAGCCCAGCATCAAGTCACTCGAGTCAGTTTGATGAAATGATCGCGGCAAGAAGACGACGGATGGCTTTAGACAAGGAGGTATCATCTCAGCCTTTTGAATAAGATTTCGAGCTATCATTGTGCAAAGAGAAATTATACGAAAATGAAAAGAAGAAATTCTCGTCTATTTCTTCTCTCCCCAATCTTTTTTCTTTTTTTTTCTTTACTTTTTTTTCGACCTGTCTGCGTATCCAATCATTTCAAGGGTGGTAGTTCTTCCTAAGTAAGGTCGCTCCTCTGTCAGTTGGACCTTTCGCTGATATTTCCTTCATTTTTTTATGAAACCATTTTGATTCTTTTTTATGATAACCTCCTTTTTTCATTTTTTTGACCATCACCACTCATTCCTTACCTAGAACTAATTTCCATCAAATTACAATAAAAAATGTTATTCCTCAACTTAGAAAGGATAAAATAAACCACTAGTCACCATACCCGTATTGCCCCACTCGTTAGAGTGTGGCGATAATCTGACGTAAAATTGCGCGCAATGAAGATCGCGAAATGACCACAGATGAGCTGTGCGCATTGATTTTCATTTTGTTTTCTGCAGGAGAAAGCACGGCGTGCCCAAGAGGACGGTGATGACATTGCTGATGATGACCTTCTAATGAAAGAAAAGGCTATGTTGTTCTCTGATTATCATCAGCCTTATCACTTCCTCTCCAAAGAGGACGAAAAGGAAGCAACAAGAAATAGAAGAGAGCAGCCTGGTTCTAGTAGGCGCAGTCCCCCTAGAAGAAGCAGGCGCTCGGCTATGGAAGGGGATGGTGATGAAGTGTAGTGAAGAAAAAAAAAATGCAATTATCCAGAAACCGATGACGGGAAAGCTGTAATCCGTGGTTAATTTTGTACATATTTTCTTAAACACTGTTGTACAATTTTAAAAAGAAAAACAATGTTACTTTTCAAAGATTTTTGCAATAAAACAAATGCACTAAACTCATGACGTCACTCGTTTCAAAATGGCGGAGACAATTTCGACCTAGTTCTTCAAGCCAGGGGTCTGCTGGAGTTTTAGCCCATTTCTTGTTCGGATTTCGAAAGGCATCGTTTTGTTTGAACATCGGAAGAACAGAGCAAACGAAAAGGGCTGGGGGGGGGGGGGGGAAAGACTCTCTTACCCCTTCCCCTCCAACGGCTTCCTGCCCTTGATCTAACTTAAACTTTGCACGCCTGGTCACTAACTTCATACGCTCATCATTCCACGCAGAGGAACTTAAGATTCTTAAAAACCAGTGAATCTTTGCTTCTTACTCTGGCTATATCTTATACATAATAACAATAATAATAACAATGATAATAATAATAATAATAATAATAATAATAATAACAATAGTAATTATAATAACGATAATAAAAATGATAATAATCATAATAATAATCGTAATAATGATCATAATTATGACCGTAATAATAATCATAAAATAGTCCTAATAATATACGAGAAAAAATTACTCTATTCTGATTGGTTAAGATAAATGCAGTTTTCAGGTAATTCAATGCAGAAGAGGGTTAATTCAGTGCAAAGAAGTAACAAACTAGACATTCTGATTGGTCAGTAATCAAAGAAACTCACAGATAGCTAATCAAATGCGAACCTTGAACATTTAGATACGCTCAAAATTTTCGAGCAAACAATGGCCGGCATTTTAAGTAGGTTTTCTTTCTTTCGCCACCGCAACAATACAGCAGCTGAAAAACATCTCTAACAACGTAAACACTTTTAAAAGCTCTGCTTTTTGGTTGTCGGTTTGGAAAAAAGTGTTGTTTAGAAAAGATAATTGCCACGGAAATCGAAAATTAAGAGCCGAGTCAGCGAAACACTTTGCTAGAACGATTCTACGCCGAAATTGAATACAAACATGGTTAAACCTCGCAAACGATTCTATTTCATCAAAAGTGATTCGGATACAGACTGAACAATTCCTTGAACTGTTTATCCGGACTTTGAACTTTTTTGCGCCTTTAAGATGTGAAAATATCATTGTATATTATTGTTTGACCGAACGCACAATGTCATTTGCACTCGATGCACGCGTTTTGCTCCTGCATAGTTATGATAGGCTATCTCGTATTTTTTCATGTATATTATTAATACGAAATCAAAATATTTTTCTCGTGCAATTTGGAATACATAAGCACTCATCAATTATTTCAAAGATCACAAATTGCAATTTCGTTAGTCTTCGAAAACTTGACGAGTGCATATTTATTCCAAATGTTGCGGTGTTGGAGATTACAGGAGTATTCTACAGCTTACTGTCTTCCGTCAGTAGTACTATCCGTGGAAAGAGAATCGTGCATCGTACAATTTTACACACACACAATAGTTATAAGTAAAATAATATACAAAAAAATAAGTTTTATTTTCATAAACAAGCGTGCAATACCAGCGCTGGATTAACATGAGATTCAATGTAATAAATATATTGCAGACGCAATCATAACACCAGAAATTAGAATACAAATTTCATTGACACTTGCTGATGGCCTATGAGCCACAAATTATGAATGTTTGAGCGCTTAAAACTTACGATAAAAAAGATAAAACTTCGATATTTGCAATTCAATTATGTGTCGTTGCTAAGCGATAGCAGGTGTTCATTTGCCTAAAGGTTCTGTTACAATTCAAATGACAAAGTCCACATTTCAGTAGAGCTCAGCCCCATTCTCAGCTAAATCGACCTTCAAAGAGACTGGGTACCTTTTAGGCATGGATTCTGTCAAAATTTGCTGCCCAGCAGCAAGTTAATTATTTATGGTAAATTAAAATATTCTACACAGATGAATCAGGAAGAGACAGGGTTTTATCTCCGGCTGCACAGCTTGTCTTTTTGTTCTCCTCTTGGGTGCAAGGCTGTAAAGAAGAAAACGAGTATGAAAAATTAATAAACTAAATAAACAAGTATTTGTCCCCCGTTTAAGAGACAAATGACATGTTTAACCTGGTTCCGGCGACCTGGTCCCACCCTATGACCAAGAGAGGTGCGCTTCCATTGTCACCGGCGTTGAATAAGCGGGAAAGCGGGAACATTTTGTGTCGAACATTCTAGACAATATTTCGTAAGAAAAAGAAATCTTACAATCTTTTGGCATTTAACCACACGAGTAAGCGAATATCCCACCTGCGTATTCGAGAGTAAATGACGTTTCTTTTTTATTTACACCGGTAAAAGTCAGTTTATCCCAGTTCGAGCAAAGCCTATGACTGGAGAGTTCCCTTAGCCTATCTGGGTCTACAGATCCTATGTAAGTTGAAACTCACCTCTTCGTCTAGACACGATTCTGAAAATTGAAGAATGACGTTTGTAAATTGTTCATCTTCTGTCAGTTCCATAGAGTCGTTCGTCAGTTTAGGAATAAACTCTGGCTCGAGGTCGGATATTTCATCTGCCGAGCATTTCCGCGGTGAAAGATGATTACTCTCAGAGGAGCTCTCTGAGTTTGAGTTCCATCTTTTTCTCCGTTTCGCTATCCGTCCTGTGACATTGATGACAGGAGACCCAGGCGTGTAGGGGCAATCACTACAGGAGTGGCTTAATGTAGCAAGATTATTGTCAATGTCACTACAACTACCAGGACTCTCATCTGTATTACCCCAAGAAGTGCCTTCTATACGACCCTGACAACAAGGCCCCTTTTTGTGTCCTTTGTTTGGGCCCTCTGGGGACATAAGGTCCTTAATATTTTGGGTCAGAGCCCTTGGTGTTCCGGGTGATCTACGACGCTTTGATTTGTTTAAACAACCGCGACTTCTTTTAATCTTTTTAAAGTAACTCTGTGTCTGTTGTTCGTCACTGTCGGCTTCTTGAGGCCAGCAGTCGTGTTCTGTTGGGCTGCTGGAACTGCTTGAGGTGTTGGGACTTAAAAAAAAAAAAAGGAACGAAAATAATAACACTCAGATGAGTCTACAAAAATCTAATTTATTGTTACCATAGTTTTCAATTTAGTTTCGATAAACCAAAACTAAAGCAATCATAACTACCAGTCATAACAAAGATTGACATCATCATTAGCCATTGAGAACTTCAAGTAAAAACAGGTAACCTGCTTGAAGCGCGGGAAACCACGAGTGACCAAGATGGAATTGGTCCTAGTTTTGCATTTGCTTAGTTGAGATGTGGCGTAAGTTTTGTTTTTGACCAATCACAGAACAAAATAAAGCAAGACCATAAAAATCCAGGATCACTCACAATACTCACTTGAAAACTGCTCTAAAATAGCTTGTCATCGAGACATTGAACTGCAAAAACTAAAGCGACAAACTCCCTAAGGATTCACAAGTGAGTTTACAACAGCGTATTCACATTCCACCTTGCTGCTCTCCGCTGAAGCCTGATCTTCTCCTGGCTCCCATTTACATTGTGGTATGACCGGTGAAACCGCCAGAGATCAGACGGCTGGCAAAGCAAGCCATTAATCTCATTTCTCATCAGCTCGCTTCTCTGCTTGTGCTACAGCATACGAGCCTACTCACAGGCAGACTCATTGTCTTTCTCTCTCTCTCTCTTCCTCTCTACCCTCCCCTTCTCCTCCACACACAAACACACCCTTAAATCTTCAATTCCTGTCTATCTCTCTGTCCTCTATCTCTACGTAGTAATTTAGTATCAACAACTGAGCGTTTCTTCGTTCTGAGGAAGGACTAACGCTCGAAACGTCAGCTTTGAAACTCTTTACGGTGGCCAATTTACGTTATCAACTTAGTTGATAATACTAATTTTCTGTGTTACACTCTCCCACCAGTGCAACACCACAGTTTCTACAAAAACTTAGCCCCTTTATTCGTCATTCTCTACATATCTTTGTGGCACCTTTTCCTCCTTAACTTATCCCTCCCCTCCCCCAAACTCTCTCCTTCCCTAATTACATCACTCCGCTTTTTCATCTCCTCCTCGCCCACCGGCTTATTTCTGTCCCCTTCCCCCCTCCATCTCGCCCCCTTTTCTTTCCATACTCACCAGCTTGAAGAGGGTGGCCTTGTGACCAATTGATCGAGCTCTCCTTTCTCCACATCAGAAGTGCGTCCCTTAAGCTCTGCCTTCATCTGCCTCTTCCTGATGTTTAGGACTCGAAATTGACGTTCGCGTCTGAAAAGGCAGTTCACAGGAACGGCAAAATAATGTTGTTTAGAAAAGGGTTAACACCTAGTAACCAGTTATCCACTCGTTTTGACAGTCTTTCTATACAACTGAGAGCATAAATTCGTAGATGAACCGTGTGACCCTTATAAGTGACTAGCATGTAATTTCTCCTTACGATATCATCCCTGAATCACACATTAAGGTTATGAGAATTAAGGAAATGATCACCAACTAAAGAAACTCTTGATTCTTAATCAGATTCTCCTTTTCAGCACTTAAGGATGTGTGTAGAGAACAGCATGGAGAATATGCATACTGATGTTAAGGCGATAGAGAATCGGAGTGAGAAGATCTCAAATCTCAAATTTGATTCCAAGCGGGGTACTTGAGACTGTTTCCTTTCCCGTACCAAAACAAATTAAATCCCTCTTTAGCTTCAGTCTTTATTATCACCTGAGAAGTTCCTTTTCTCGGGCTTCCAGATGCTGCATGCATTCGTTTAATTCTTTGTACAAACTGTTAGCTCTCTCCAACTTCTGCTCATAATGAACTCGGATATCCTGAGCATGTCTGAAATCAAACGCAAGAATAACGTCGTTCTACAAAAGTTGTTCGACTGTTTTTCATTTTTCGTTCATAATTTGTATCAAGAGAATAAGGCGTCTGAGAACGACGTTACAAGCTCTAGAGCAAAATGACAGAGAACGTGCTAACAGTGTAAAAATAGAGCAGTTGGAGAGTTAAAACGTGGGGTATACGGCCTGTGGCCGTAACCAGCATGCTTAAAGTCGTACAAAATTCCGAACGAGCACCGCATCTCACAAAGGAGGGAAATCAAGGGTTCCATTGAGACTGATCAAACCCGGCTACCGTCTGAAAGACCTATTGCCGCCGCTGTTTAGCCTGCACAGGTTCTCGTGTTGGGTTTCGCCTTATGCCCCCTTTTCTGGGCACAGCCGCCTATTACATCATCAAACCCCTAAGCAATGCTTAGTGATATCTTGCTACACACGAACCAACTTTTATTGGACAGGGGAAACTCCTAGGGGTTTCGATAACTTTTCCTATAAGCGGTTGCCGATGGTGTGATAGGCGTCGGCCGTAAGTCGAAACCTAAACACGAGAGCCTACACTCAGGCTAAACAGAAGGCGACAAGAGATAGACCAGCGGTAACTTCATGGCATTTATTGATTCCCCTGGGATCTTTAGCTCACATAAGAGACCAAGAAGACAAAGTTTGTAAAACAATGAAACACTTTGGCTACAAAAACAGCTTTAAATCTCAGACTGGGCTACTCGAATGACCAATCCAATAGCTCACGGTGACTCAAAAGTGTAATAAGGTGGGTAAATTTCACAGATAATACTTTCAATTGAAAGGAAGTTATTTTTTGTTTCGTTCTCACCGAAGCTCTTCCTTCCTTCTTCTAATGAGTTCCTCGTCAAGTTTTTGCAGTTGTTGAAGATTCTGCATGTGTACACTGCTTCTATTCTTCATCTTTTCGAACTGTTCCTTGATTTCCCCCCTCCATGTTATCTGCCAAAAATAAAATGAAACTTGTCAAGATTTCTTCACAGCCCCATACTTCATTTTGCATACAGTTCTTGGATAAAGAAAACAAAGGCGGAAATCTTTGTTCACCTCATCTAAATTTTGCTTTTTCACTTCAAAAATTATTAGTTCTCTTAAACTAAATAAAAATGCTCTTGTTTTTACCCATAATTAATAGTAATCCAAACAAACAAACAAAAAAACAAACAAAATTGGGACACTGATTTAAAGCACAAGAATATTAATATCTCTTGGCCTGACCCTGTAACTCCCACAACTGATTAACACGTAACTTCTCCCTATGACATCCATACATCATCCAGCAAACAGGTAATGAGAATACTCAAACTTATCAATTACAAGTTTTTATCTTGATCTAACATCAAATTCTCATAACAATCTACAAGGAAATATACAGCACCTAGAGGGGAGAATTAACAATCAGATCTTAGGGGTTTAAGGCATAACTGCATTTATGTCTTCTTTACTCACTTGTCGGTTCAAATAAAACTCCTGTGGTGTTTTGATCACATCTCCAGCTGCAATGTCTACATGAAGAAGAACTTGTTGGAAAGATGGCCGATTCTTTGGTTTACTATTCCTAAGAGATAAATTTTAAGGACAAAAACTTGAGCTTTAGTAACATCATGAGAATTGTGTGGCAGACAATACAGAGAATTACATACCACTCTACACCCAGAAGTATTAATTAATAATGGTGACCTGAAGATTAAACCTTTTTAATTGATGACAGGGTGACTGGCCTGTCCCATTCCACTAAAAAAAGTGCTTAACCATTTGGGAGAAAATTGTTCCATCCAGGGGGAGTAGTCATGCTCACAATTGCATGTTCAAGGAGATCAGCCATCATAATGAAAATAGGTTCTGAACGTAGGTTACTAATTTGGTCATTGTTCCAACACAGACATCCACAGACTTTTTCCTGATCAGTCAAGTTTAACAACTTCAAACTAAATCATTCAAAAGTACCAAAACATCATCAACTTTACCAACAGAGTTTCATAAGAAGTTTAAAGCCTTCTGGACAGGTGGTTGGCACAGGGAGATGTAAACTGTTGCTGCCAACTCCCCAGATTATGGCAGAGGAATCCACATCCTACATAAACATTATATTAAAAGTCAATAGGCCATTTCACAGTTGTGTACATAGCTACCAAGCTAAGATTTATAATGAGGCTGAAGGTGACCTTCTTGTGATAAAGACCAGTATCTAGTTAGCATGATAACAGAGTAATTTACAATTGAAAAGCAACAAAGATTGTATCATAACAAGGTCACCCTTAGCTTCAAAGGCTTGGCAACCAAGTATGCAACTGTGAAATGACTATTCATTTTTAAAAATCTCATAATCAGTAACATGTAATAATGCAATTGTTACCTCAGCTGTGTTTCAAGCTAAATTCTCTTTTTTCCTTAAATATGGAATTGTGTAGAGGTGATAACAAAACAGACCTCATTCAGTGCTTTCAATAAGATTTGAAAAAGGTGGCTAGTTCAGTAAAGCACCCACTGGAGAACAATATGAAAAGTAATTTCCCTCTTATTAGCCCATTAGTTCCATTCACAATTAACCCTTTAACTCCCATGAGTGACCAAGACAGAATTTCTCCTTACAATATCAGTACAATATCAAGCAGACAAGTGATGAGAATAAAGAAAAAAATCAGCTAAGGGATAATAGGTTGATCCAAAACCAAATTCTCCAAACTAACATCACAAGAACTGTATGGCAGACAGTAAGGAGAATTACTAATGAGATCTTGGGAGTTAAAGTGTTAACTGGCTTCAAACAGAGTTTTTCGGTGTTAAACTTTCAATTGGTAAATGATCATTAAATATTAGTCTCCTTTGTAAAAATTGTTTAACTAATCATTTTATTTCTATCTAAAATCTTCCATTTGCTGAAATGCAAACCTGCAGCCTGGTCTTATTGAAAGCACAACTCATTGATCCAAGGGAGTGACTGATCATTGTGCATAAATATGTCTGAATAAAATACATAATATTAAAATAGTTCTAATTTGAAATGTGTAGTTTAGTTTGTAAGGTGTTGTTGTGGTTTATATATTGTATGGGGCAACTATGCTTACCCTGTAGGGCATTTCTCCTGTGAGTAACTCCCACAAAAGGACACCAAATGACCTAAACAAGTTTTAATGACAAAAACAAAAAGTTAAACCTGTTGGTAATAGGACTAAGTGGTGTCCAATTTGGCCCCTAATCATATGAGTGATCAATGAAATTGGATGACTGCTAAGTGGGACTGCAATTTGTTAATCACAGGTGTGAATGCAGACAGAATTGGACAACATGGAGTCCAGTAAACAATTAATCAAAACTATGACAAAATTTGAGGAAAAAATGTTAAACATTTTCATAAAATAAAACAACATTTAACTTGGTGAAATGTGAAACACCAGTGTGTGCATATGACGTGTTCTGTGCACTTACACATGTATAACATGTGCGCACATAGTGCGTTCTGTCCACTTACACATACATAACATGTTAACTGTCCCTTTAACTGTCCTATTACACTGTCCAATTACAAGCATGATACATACACAGCTCTATTAGTGCTCAAATCAGGCTGGTGATAGCCAATTATATTCAAGAATTTTGTTATACTTTTAATTTAGAGTAGAAATAAGGGTCATATAGTGGAACCTACATTGAGTGGAAACTGATTGGGGATTAGGACCCTGTTACATGTACTTGAAAAACAGTCAGAAATCTTACCATACATCAACCTTCTCAGAGCAGGGCTCATTTCTGATAACTTCAGGAGCCATCCAAGCAACAGTTCCAGCAAATGTCATCTTAGCACTCTTTTCACTGAATTCCTTACAGGTACCAAAGTCAGATATTTTGAGCAGGTCATCTGCACCAACAAGGACACTGAAAAGAATATTAAACACAAAAGGCTTGAAATCATTACAAGAATCTACCATTCAGCCTGTTCTCCTTAAATTCTGATTGGTACCCATAAAATTTCATCTTCTGTAATAAGTGTTACATTTAAAGAACTGTTTTTTTTTTAATGAATGATATATAAAATCCTTCCAAATGTGTAGGAATACCATGTAGATGTGAATGTTACTGACAGTCAAATCTCTCCACAACAACCACCTCATGTACTGGTGCAAACAAAAGAGCACTTGTTGTAGAGAATTTTCCATCATAGGAAGGTTGGGAATTGTAAAAGAAAAATGCCAGTTTTGAACAAAATATAGTTTATTTTAAAAAATGCTTAATGTAAACTGCAAAACATATTAACTCATTCAAACTTGGGCAGTATAGGAAGTCAAGAATTGGGTGTCAAAAAAAAAATTGATAGGGTACAGAAAGTTTATCAGTTTGATGAGTATCCACTTTCATTTTCAATTTAATTGTATGATATAAAAAAAATCATTGTGTGATTTTTGTAATACTTCGAATATACTAATTATACTGAATAAAAGGATTTCTTTTCTGAGAAATTTTAATTGTTACTTACTTCGGAGACTTCAAATCCCGGTGAATAATTTTGTGAACATGAAGATAATGCATTCCATCTGCAATTTGCTTTGACCACTTCACCAGTAAGGAAGGAGTGATTTGACGTCCATTACGTAAAACCTCATATAGTTGACCATTTGGACAGAATTCCATAACTATGCAGTGAACTGGAGCTTGATTGCATATTCCTCTGAGTGAAAAAATAATATTTAATTCAAAATCATTCAGGAGCTGAATCAAATCAGTAATTGCTTACCTTTCATCATTATGGCTACCCCAAACTAAAAATCTTTCTTCAAACTCTATATGCTGATCTTGGAAATGGAATTTAAGCCTTTTACTCTCAAGCTCTCATTACTATTTCTCCTTACTGTACACCATACAATTCTTCTGGTGTCAATTTGGAGAATTTGTTATTGGATCAACTAATAATCCCCTAATTGATAATTCTGTTTACTCTCATCTTTATTCTCTTGTGTGGTTGATATTGTGTTGATATTTTAATGAGAAATTATGTCTTGGTCACTTCTGGGAGGGGAAGAGTTAAACTAAGCTGAAAAAGTTATATGAGGTAGGGAGGGTAAAGTCTGACACAAATTGTAAGAGGAAAGACAGCAATGGAATAAACTCATGCATTGTCAACTTCCCTCACAATTATTACTGCTGATCAAATTTACAGAAATCAACATATCAACATCACCTGGTACAGTGAGTCACTAGCTTAGCCCTTTCCAACCCCAGAGTGATCAAGACAGATTTTCTCTTTAGAATGTCAATAAAAAATCAAGCAGACTAGTGATGAGAATAAAGAAAAATATCAATTAGGGGAATATAAGTTGTTCCAATGATAAATTATTGGGAGTGAAATGGTTGAAGTGATTTCCTTCGTTACAATTACCATACATAAAGACAACATTAAAATTATTCTTTTAACATTATAATCACTTGCTTGCGAAGGCAAAATTATTCTTTCATCATTATCATTTGCTTGCGAAGGCAAAATTATAATCTTTATCCCAAAAGTGGACAACAGAAAACAGAAATATCAAAACATTAGGAAAAAAAAAGAAAAAAGAAAAAAAAAAAAAAGAGTCACAAGAGAAAAAACAAGATCAAAGTACGCTTTATAAACACGTCGAGGAAATCTTGTAGGAACGATTTTACATATAGCAGCAGTCAAAAAAACATTCTTAGACTAATTTTTTAGTCTTAAATATGTTGATTAAATTCAAAATAAACCGAACCGTTTTAATCCTAAAACTGCCATTTATCGAAAAGCTATCTAAATAAAATAAATTTTAATTTTTTTCTCATTTGAGACCTGTCTGTACCAGTAATGTTCGACCTTCACTCGAACAATAATCCTTGACATCTAAGAAAAGCAAATTTACAAACAAATTTTCTCACCTGAATTTGACAATGTTCGGATGATTTATGTTCCTCAAGTGTTTAATGTCGGTATCGGCCTCGCGACGAACTTTCTTCACTGCGACTTGTTGTCCAGCATAAAGTCCCAAAAATACTGCCCCTTGAGCGCCAGAACCCAACCATTCCAGCTCGCCAATTTCGTCAAATGGAATAACCCACGAATCTGATTTCCGCTCTTTTGAAGCCTTACCGAGAATCATCCACACAGGTTTCAGACATCCTAATAAACGCTGTAAAAGACCGGCCAGAGAAGGCGAATTTGAAGGATGATCTTTGTTCGGCGAAGCTTGACTTTGATCGCTCTCTGGTTTTGGCAAGAAATCCCCAACAGATTTTCCTCCAGGGGAAAGCCCGCCGTTTTGATCCAGTGAATCGATCCTTGTGATCGTAAAGTCTTCGGTTTTTACGTTCATATTTCTGTCCTTTAACAACAGTCACTAGCGATCCAGACTTCAGACTTTCTTTCCATTGTCGTTTGGGTTAAACACCCTTCATCTTCAGCGAGTTTGTGATCGTTCGGCCATGATAAAACCATTACGGTGATAAAATTTCATTTTCTACCTGACAAAAAGCATATTTAATCTTCGGTGTTGACACTTTAACGCTTCCGATATTTCGCTTTCGAGATCTGAGCCTAGGACGAGAAAATTATCTCATATTTACGTCAAAAAGGTAGCAGATCCTGGAGCATAAAGTTGATGTTTATAAATTTTCGGACGAATATGGCGGTATGTCATGTGATTAGTTCAGTTTGTCAACAAACGACAACCAATCACACAGAGCTTCACAGGTGATGTGCTCTAACAAATGAAAACATTGCTGGTAGGAAAAGAAACACACTACATTTTTTTAACAGGAAAATCCTTGTCTTCTTAATTGCTTCATTATATTTTTCAGGGTACCAGTAAAAATTATTCCGCTCAGTTAATCTTCACATCCCGCTGCTAAACAAATTTTAACAAATGGTACCAAAGTCTGTTGACAATCCTGAGATCAGTTGTGTTTCGGTACGATCAAAATCGTTTCACAGTGAGTTGGTAGTTTTTTGATCATAACAAGATCCTCAAGGATCCAGTTATGAAGTGAATAAAAATTTCGTTTAGCTCTAGCTACGAAGATACAATGTTGATAATTTATGCACGATCTGCATTCTCCGTGTTCAACTGGTCTTAATTTCACGCAAGCTTGAAAAATGCAGGGAATTTTGCCCGTTAGAGTGTTTCAAGTTCGTGTAATCCTTCCCCTCTCTGATATTCATTGTGTCGTATGAATATAAACATGATCACAAAGTGTTCGAGTGTTTTAGTTCTTTAATTTCATTTATTTGAGAGTGCTTTGCTAAAGTAATGTTTATCAGATAACAATGGCTTGATTTCTACACCTAAAAACTGCCTGTAAAGGTTTGCTCCCCCTTAAGGTTAGGATCAGCAGAAAATTAGCATTTTAGTATCGCAAACTTCATCATTCAGAATCGCACTTTCCAGAGCAACACAAGTATCAGTGGGAGCGATAACTATTACTGAACCTTTCAGACTAACTTGGCAAATAATTATATTTTAAAACAGGCAATAAATGTGTTTGTACATTTTCTTAAGGCGGAAGTATTGAATCAAGGGAACCCATCTCTACGATCTGTCTCTGAAACTAGTTTCGTGCATCTTTTCCCTTCGGGTGATGTAAACAAATTACCTAATGTCTAGTCATAGGGACAAAAACTGGTCATTGGCAACTTGCCATAAAAACTTGAAATGTTTCTCCAAGTCATGCTTTTCCCCTCGTGAAAATTACCCTGCGGTGCAGGTATCTCATACCTAGACCTTCCACGGCCAGGGGGTTGTATTTAGTTACAGTTACACGGCAAGATCTGGGTACGAGATTAGTTTGCAGGGTTTGTATTCTCCTGTCCTGACGGGGGAGAAAAGGGAGCAGGGGAATTAGAGGGAAGTTTTAAAGAGGGACTGTGGCCCCTGAATGAAGATTCTACCTTTTTCAAGTGGCCAATAAATTTAGTTAAGCTTTAAAACGTCACACATCTGCGTCAAGATACGATCCACATTGATCGTGATAGCCTGCGTACAACCAAACCTACGTAACCTTAAAAAAAAAAAAAAAAAAAAAAAAAAAAAAATTGCCAGGCCAAGGAGCCCTCTCTAGTTTTTTTTTTTTGAAGATAGAAGGCGGTTGTACACAGCCTACGATAATGATAGCCTTTGTCGTCGTCATAAATATCGCCTTTTTCCTTTCTGAAGATCGTCGCCATAGTCAACCCGCTTATAATTATCCTCTTGGTTATCAACGTCATAATGATTCGTTTTTAATGTCGTTACAATAACAACCACTCAGTCATCTTCACCATCATTATCATCATCCATTCATCTCTCTCGTCTCCAGGATCAAAGCAAGTATCCAAGCAACTACGCACCTACCCCTCCCCTGAGCCAAGATTAACCCTAAGTCGCTACCAGTTGACTATTGTTAGGTTATGGGAGGGGTAGGTGCGCAGTAACTAAGATATAGTCATCGGTATTCGTCAACATTATCAATGTCATCGTCATCCTTATCAACATCATTCACTCGCCATCTTGGTCATTGTCATCATCTTTGCGACGACTTTCACTTCAACATCACCATCATTGCTTCTGGCACGGTTTCAGTGGTCTGTTCACAATTTCGCACTTACCCGGCTCAAAATACTCAAACCGCGGTGTGATCGCTACGTCATTGCAAACAAATGTCTTCCATGCAAATTGAAGCCTCGTAATACACGGCTGTCCTTGGAACTCGCATGTTTCGCCGGCAACGCCAGCTAAGAATCCACAGATTCCAGGCGGACTCTGGCTTCGAACGGTCGCGTGACTACCCTGACAGCTACCTTGATAATCGGGGCAAAATCCACGATAAGACTTCAAACCACCATAAGAATCCTTATTTGTATAAAACGCCAGGCTGTTAATCAGCGTTCCGCTCTGAACTTCCACCTTTACAATCTTTTCATTTTCTTTGAGAAAGATTTCGTTTTGTTTTTGTCCTGACTTGACGCCGTACAACCACCTCGAGTTATTGCTGTAAAAGACCTCTAATCCACAAATAGATCGCGGCTCTTCTGTTGGAAAGTTCCTCCAAACGGTTATTCCTGTAATGTAGACGCCTTCATCATTGACACCATCAATCGAGTCCTCAAGAAAATATCGACCGGTTATGAATTTTTTTTTCGATGGAATTTGTTGGGTTCCTACAAAGGTTCGACCCCATGTGACTACGCACTTGGCGAAATCCCTTCTTTTGGCCCAGTTTGAATCGGTCGAACCATCTCCAGTTTCATTCGATTTCACCGTCATTGCTTTTTCAACGATCGCTTCGCAACGGCAGCCAATAATTAAGCTGTGCTTTAAGACCTCTTGGAGATGCTCCTTTGATAGAGTTGGAAGCCTCACGAGGGCCAAAAGTTTCGGTAATAAATCTGCTCGTTTACCAAGATCATACTGCACGTATCGAAACACAGCTTGTAAAACAACGCTCTCTCTCTTATCGGCGCGAGGAATCAAATTATCAACAACTACACAGATGCTCTCTTCTCTCAGTAACTCCGTCAATAAATGATGTGGAAGATGAATAAAATCTTGCGTCATGCAAATTTCTGTGAAATAGCGTACGGCGACCAATTTCGCCTCTTCCCTCAAATACTCGAAGGCAAACGTGTCTGCGATTTGAAGAGCGTTCAGACAGTTGTTCTTATTGAGATTTTCTTCCAAGAAGCGTATGCATTCTTTTTGCACGAACTCGATTCCAAGATAATTCGCGACTTCCAGAATGTATTGAACATTGTCGGTGGTAATGTCGACAGTTCCTGAGTACACAAATCGAACCAAACTCGTTATGGCGTCTTCGTCGAAATCAAGAAGTTCGACTTCGTTTGATTTTCCTTCGACCCAATTCGCTCCGAAAAGCGCTTCGAAGTACTTGCTTGATAGCGCTAAGACAGCACGATGGGCTCGTAACTTTCGATCTTTACCAATTTTAAGAGTGACGTCGCAAAATCTCTCTTCCTTCTGCATCCAAGTTAGACCACTCCAAAGGAAAAATCCGTGTGATGGATCTTTTGCGGTGTAAGGACTATCGACTCGAGACGATTTCATCGGTGTTTTTTCGATTTCTGTTGTTTGTGAAGAAATCTTGCTGTTATTTGAGCTTGTCAAATGAAAAGCGAAGACGTAATTTCCATATCAGAGTGCTGCCGATAAAACATAAACGAAGCTCCGCGTGACAGCCTCGCGTGACACTGTTGAAATCACGCGATTATAAAAATTTCGACACCAGTCTATAAACCCTGATTCTAGCCTGGCGAGGTTACAAACAAACCAACATGTCGGCATTTTCCTGACTTGTAGAAATATTTGCGACCACTGTGGGGATTCAGACTCTAGAACACCGTCGTAGAATGATGAGGACACCTTCCAAAACACAGAGAACCTTCTTTTGTATTCTAGGCATTGGTTCTACTTTTTTTTCAGCTACACTTTTTCTTACCTTACTGTCGATGTTTCGACCACCATTCACAGCTAATCCCAGTACAGAGACAAACGAAAGTAAAAGGTGAGCAGGTAAAATCGCAGGCAGTTCACTCGGCGAGTATTAATAGGAGTGCGAGACTACAATATTCTCTTCTGACTTAGGTCTTAGCTATGAGGAGTCGAGATAAACCAGACATTCAGAGTAATTTTCAATTGAGTATCAAAAGTGATCTGAGACTGGTTTCGCTTTGCTTCGGTCTGCGATTGATCCAGAAAATTCGCGCCATCCTCTAAACCAATCAGACGCCTAATAATAACCAGCCGTTACAAGGTCTCCCTCGTTTTCCCGCGCTTTTAATAGTTTTCCTGTTTTTGTTTCGAGTCCTCACTGGCTAAGATGACGCAAACCTTTGTTATGAATAGCTGTTTTGCTCTAGCAGACTACAGGATAGGAGATGTAGGGTATATTTGACTGTTCGAGAAGTTTTGAGAGTGTTACGAAAATTTTTAGTCAAATTTTGCTGGTCTTGCACTTTACTTTTTTGTGTAAGGTTATTCTCTTGTCTGTACTCTGTTGTGGCCAATCCACCTCCATTTCCACTGACTGATTTATATTTAAAAAAGTTCCTGACCTAATCCATAGCTCATTGTGCCAAGATTTCTACACAACCCCATACTTCATTGTGCATGCAGTTCTTGCATAAATAATACAATAGCCAAAACAATAGATAGCCTCTGAGACCAGGGCTTTGTTTAACCTCTTTAACCTCTAAGAATGATTAACATCTAATTTCTTCCAACAGTATCACCTTTAATTAAACATGAAGGTCAATTGAGAATAAAGGAAATGATCACAAACTAAAGAAGCTCTTGATTGTTAACCAAATTTTCCTTGTGTGTACCTTAGGAAATGTTTAGGGAACATTAAGGAAAATTTGCATACTGATGTTAGTGTTAGGAATGGTATAGGGCTTTAATCTGACTGTCAATGGACCTGTATACTCTGTGGCTATATAGGCTGTATGGACTGACATCAGATCATGTCAATACTAGAACAAAAGATTTTAGAGTGCCACACAATATACTTACCAAGCAAGAAACTTAGAGGAACAACAGAGTATTGTTTTGAGGATCAAAGGTGTATAAAGAAGTTGCTTTTAAAACTGCAACACTTTGCAATATCATGGTTGCAGTTGCAGTTATGGTTACTGTTATTGCAATCACAACCATGATATTAAATTGCTCTACTGTTGGGCTAACATGCAAAATGTTAGCTTTTAAATGCTTTATGGTGGCCAATTTACATTATCAACTCAGAATTGATAATACTAAATACCCTGTTATACTCTCCCACCAATGCAACACCATAGTTTCTTTAGAAACTTACCCACTTTATCAGTTAGGAGTTGTCATCTTGATGTAACCCCAAATTCTTGTAAATAATTCACAAGAAAATTTGTAGCTGCTAGTGGGGAGGATTAACAATCAGATCTTGAGAGCTTAAAGGTTGACTAGAAAATATGACCATATATGTTGGAGTTATATTATGTTCTGTTATGATATTTTGGTTTTTCAGTTATGAGCTACATTTTCCAAGTGACCTTGAGGATCTGAAGTCTTTAGCCAGTCTATTGAAGCAATACAGACAAGATAATTTTGGTTATGTGATTCTGCTGTTCTGTAGTGCATATTTGTACAAACAGACATTTGCCATTCCAGGGTCTGTTTTTATGGTAGGTGTTTATAACAAGCTAAGATTTTAGAATGAATAAAAAATTAAAAGAGAAATAAAGAGATGATTAAATAAGTGATCAGGTAAGTAGGTATTAGTTGATAAGTAAATGAATAAAGAACGAAAAAATTACTTGGTATTAAAAAGAAAAAAAAAAGATTAAAAAATGAAAATTTTAATAAAAAGATAAAGTCTGTGGAGTAGGAGTAATTTTCCCCAGCAAATACTCAGTATTTTCTTGGCGAAAATTATGGCCATCATCTTTGATTTTAATGGCAGGGGAAGGCTGGGGAGAGAAAGAAATTTGTCCCAAGGGGGTGAGAGATGGTTAAAAATTAACAGAGTTAATTAAAACTCAGATTAATAATATCCTATGTTCTGTGCAATTTTATTTTCAGAATTTGTTAGCTGGTGCAATATTTGGTATGTGGGTTGGATTTCCATTGGTTTGCACCTTGACTGGATGTGGAGCCACATTTTGTTATCTGTTATCTAAAGCGTTTGGCAAAGTGCTTTTACTTCAATATTTTCCAGACAAAATCCAGGCCTTGCAGGGCAAGGTGAGAGAGGACAGATGCATACATTATATCACCAATGACAATGTTTTCCTTTTTATCATATAAACCAAAAAAAACACATGTTGTAAACCACAGATGAAGTCAAAATGTGATAAGTTCATCAGTGACATACTAGGCTGTGCTTTATGTTTATTATGTCATCTGTGATTTACTACTGAGCGATACGTGGTAAAATTGAATCAACCTATTCGTTAATTTTATTGAAAAGGATTGTTGTTGAATGGCACTCACTATTAATTAACAAATATGTAATAAATATGTAGTCTAGAGCATTTCTTGTATTTTTCAGGTCCAAGAGAACCTTGATGGTCTGTTTTTCTTTTTATTATTCTTGAGATTGTTCCCTATGTCTCCCAACTGGTTCCTAAACATGTCATCGCCAATTTTGGAAGTACCCATTACACATTTCTTTTTCTCAGTTGTAATTGGTAAGGATACCTGACTTGCTGATTTTGTTTAATTTGGTTTGTTTAATTATGAGAATTTTTGGGGTTAATCCTTTTACTGCTGTGAGTGACCAAGACAGAATTTTTTGTCACTATATCTAATAGTATACAATATGCAAACAAGTCATGAGAATAAAGGAAAATATCAATTATGGGATTACTAATTGATCTGATACCAAATTCTCCAAACTAACACCATGAGAATCATTTGGCAGACATTAAGGAGAATTACTAATGAGATCTTAGGAGTTAAAGGGTTAAATTGATGAAAAGTCAAAGTCAAGAATAAATTGTTTAGTTTTACAAGATAAGATATTGCCCTTAACACCAGTGGAAGGAAGGGAAGGGGGGATAAGTGTACTCAAAATGACCAGTGCAAGAAAAAGTAGACTGAGAAAAAAAAGTAAACTAAAAGTACCGTATTTCTTCACCTATAAGCTGACCTCAGCTAGAAGCCGAGACCTTAAAAGTTAGAGACCTTCCAACAGACTTTTGTTGTCCAAAAGAAAAAGCAAAACCATTGGCTATAAGCCAAGAGTGAAATTCTTGATTGCAACTGGCCATTTGAGTGAGCGAACCTCATGTAAAATATTGGGAAATGGCACAATGAACAAAAAAGCTTATGAATGCAAATAAACACAAAAGAAAAAAAAGCAAATCAGTGAAGATGTAAATACTACTACGCAACTGCAGAAACACAACAATACTCTCAGTTACTGTAACCTGACAAACATTTCAATCAAGTATCTCTTTCGTCACTTATTTTTCTCATCATGCCAAAACGTTCTGCTCTTCATATACTATGGCTTTCAATATAAAAGTTATTGTGGAAGCTGAAGCTGTAGAAAGCAGCTCGGAAATCACTCAAGATTATGGACTTAGTGAGTCCATGGTGCGATGCTGGAGAAGGGAACAGGTGACAATTCTTTCTGGCAAGCTTAAGATGTCTGAAAAACGTGCAGAAATGGACCGTTTCACTCCCAAGTGTCCCAAACTAGATGAGTACTTGTTTTTGAATCCCAAACCCTTGGCTATAAGTTGAACCCTGTTTCTTGTGAAAAAGTCTCCCAAACTTTTGTGTCAAATACTGAAAAAATTGCTCAGCTTATAGGTGAAGAAATACGGTAACTTATGGAATCTTTCACTATATTATTGCTGTACAGTCATATTGTATCATAGAAAAAGTTGTGGTTCGCCAATGTGGTCAATACACTTTATATATCAATTACAATATTTTCCCTGGCTTTTTATTGACTTTGACTGTAGATCTCAGTGTTTTGTCCACATACTGCAAATCTCCCTCTGTCATCAGTTCACAAGGTGACACATTCACAGTCGAACTTATTGACTGAAGAAGATTTTGTACTACGCAGTTGAAGTGTTGCAATTCACATTGAAAGTGGCTGCATTTTGAGAAAAGTGATTATGCTTTATATAGAATACCTTGTGCTCTCTGTGAAGCCCACAAACATAATACTAAAAGAAAGTAAAATCAAAAATTTTATTTCTGAATTGGTTTTTTTCCTTTGTTTGTTTGTTTTTTATTTTTTGCCTTTTTAGGTCTGATGCCATACAATTTCATATGCTGTCAAACTGGTTGTATTTTGTCACAGTTGACATCTCTAGATGAACTGTTTACTTTAAATGTTGTCATCAAGCTCTGTGGCATAGCTGTTATGGCATTATTACCTGGTTTAATTGTCAAGAAACTTCACAAAGCCAAAAAATCCCATTCCGATTGACTAGATTGCTGCAATTTTTTCAAAAATTTTATGAAAATTATCTTTTAGGGAATGTGAAAATATGAATTTTTTGTAGTATTTATGAATTGAGAATAAAAACTTTTCTCAATGTGCGGAAGATTTGGTGGTCATCAACATCTTAATTATTATATGTGTCCTAATTGTGCTAATAAAAATTATTGAGACAATTATTTAAAATGAAAGCAGAACATGTACTTTATGCCAAAAAAGAAATAAATTATATTAAAAGCTTCTTTATTCTTGTATACAGAATGTTTATTCTTGATGATATGTTAAAGATTGTTCACATCAGAGACATGACACTTATCTTAAAAACTGTTTGTGGAAAGTTTTCCCATTCTATGAATTATTTGCAAAAACAAAATTAATTAAAGGGTCTTTTATTGAAGAAATAATGTATTTACTTTTATATGATAGCTTGAATTATATTAGTTAATTAGTTCTTACTTACATGATCTATTAGAGGACAGAATGATAGGCGATGTCAGCATTAACCACACACCACTCTTCTATCTTGTAACATGGATTCCATGTTGCCGTGGGTCTCACAGGAGACGCTTCAATGTGTTTGCAACATTTGTGACACACTTGGCTGTGCCTCAATCATGCACCAAGTTTTTCTTTCTCACACATTCCGATGTAATCTGTCATCTATTACTGAACAAGGAGTGTATTTATAATTTTTTTTTTCAGTTCAAATTAATGAATATTTAAATAAATGAAAAAAATTAATGATTGAGTACACGAATGAATGCGGGAAAGAAAATAATGAATTGAATTGGGTGAATGAATGGTTGAATGGGAGTGACTAAACTTCTTGGTATTTACTGCATAATAAGTAAATCTCTTACGTTACATGATCGCCGATTGCATGCCCATGCGAGTGTCGTAAATAGTGATGCAAGAGGGATGCAACGGGGAGTGTAACATGACACCACGGAGATGCCGCTGTTCACTATTATATACGGCGCTTCTTGGAATCAAAACCTGGCTAAGTCGTTCACGTGCCCATGCAGATAGGTTGGGTGAAACCGAAGGCAGGTTATTTTTGTACCTTCTGGTCTTGTAGATTCTTGTTCAGGCCTTTTGTTCCATCTTCACAATTTTGTAGTGCTGTCATGAAGACGCTTACAGTAACTGTCTCGTCCTCTCAGCCTCCCCCAGGTAAGTGGTTTTGTGCACAGAGCCTTCGATTGAATGTTATGCATTGCCAAAGAAAAAAATCCTTAAAAGATTAATTTTGAACTTTTCGATTTCTCCGATCTTTTGAAGAGCTATCGTAAAACATCCTAAACACTTTGCCTTGTTACGCTGCTTTGAAGGGAAGTTTACGTATTGTTACAAGCTTACTTTGATTTTGTTGAGAACTTTGCATCTCGAGATCGAATCGTGATCATTCCTACGAGATGAGGAAATAACCTACAAATCTGCTGAATTCAAGATCGCTCTTTTTTTCTACGAAAGGTGATTAACCATTATTTTTAAAGTTATTTGAATTTCCCCAAACCCCTCGGTATCGCTACGGAATCGACCAAAAAATTGAATCATTACCTTAGAATTATCACAGTGCTAGTCATTATTAGCTTCATAAAATTGAACACAGTTTGAAATGATCACTAATTTTAAGTTAACGCATTATTCGGAGCTCAAACTCGTACATTTAAAACTCAAGACTCCGCACTTTAAAAAAAAAACCGATATTTTTGTCTCAAGGAAAGGGAAACTCATTTCAATATCACCAATAGTGACATTCCATTATTTATAGTTAATATCACCATTAATATTGCATCACCTCATTAGCCTAATCCTTCAGCACCCCCTCCACCCCCTTCCCCCCAAAAAAAATTAGAAAAAAGTGATCAGAGTGTCCTTTATCAATTTACATCTTAGACAGAGTGAAATAATATGAATATGTGCATGTTTCATTTTCTTTAGCTGTCATATTTTGTATAGAATTAAGTAATTTTTTACAGTAGTAAGCCCTTTCACACTAACAAGTGATTAGCATTTATATTCTCCTTGCCAAAAGGATAACTCTATCAAGCCAATAGGTGGTGAGAATGTAGATACTTATTAGCAAGAGAGCATTACCCTGATATAATGCTAGAGAATAACTTGATATCAGGTCTTGAAAAAAATGATAAAAATGATAAGGTTGGTTCGGTGTTCTCCTCACACTCTTACTATACGAACCAAGCTGATTTTTGATAACTTTTTGTATTTCTCTTTCGCCAGTAACACTTCTTACTGTTGAGCATCTTAAGGAAAAATGTCCTGTGACAGTGGAGTGGGGTGAGAATACTTCTCTCAGGATCTCCAAGTAAGTATGTCATGATATACAAGGTTTAACCCTTTAACTCCAATGAGTGACCAAGACAGAATTTCTCCTTAGAATATCAGTACAATATCAAGTATGAAAGTGATGAGAATAAAGAAAAATATCAGTCAAGTTAGGGATTATTAGTTGATCCAATACCATAGTTAATGAACATAAATCCAGTACTTAGATGGAGCATTTGACCTCAATTTTGGCCCCAGGGGTGTCGGGGGGGATTAAAAAAACCAATCCTAGTAAGTTCAAATGTCCATGGGGTAGCCAGCAGAATGTTGAAGCTTCAACTTGATTAATGCATTACTTAAATACCATGGAGTAACAGGGCTGCTTCATAAAAACTTAATTCTAGACACTTTCAAGCTCTACTGAGATGACAGCAGATTTCTTTTAAAAAAGAAATTTAATCTGATCATACTTTATTTCACAGTGACCTAATACTGAGCAGCGATCATTCAATTGCAAGATATTTGGCTCGCAAGTATCCTGCCTTGGGTCTGTATGGAAAAGATACACTTCAAGCTTCAGAGGTAAGGGCAATCTGATTGTTACCTGTATCAAGGTCTGGAATAATGACAAGCTTGTCATCCATGGCACTGAAGGTTGACCATAGGCATCAGGATTGTGATCATTATGGTAGAAACTAGGGGGGACATTAAATGTTCTATGAAAAATCAATGATTACAGAACAAAAGTTCTGTCTTTTTTTTCCATTTCTTGTTTTATACTGTCTTCAAGTGAATGTTTTTGAGTAAAAATAGGGGGTATGCTTTGAGCAGAGAATACCCCTAGTATTGCATTTTCTTGAATAAGCGCCCATGTGCTATTCAAATTTTTTTGGTTAAAAGGAGGGGTTCTTATTGGAAGGAAGGCACTTAATTGAGGGGGCTTATTTAGAAACTTTTAACCTGTACTGATTCAGCTGTATTGAAGCTTGAAAAGTTATAAATAAAATGGCAATAGAAACATAGTTTCCTTGTATCCATAGTTAGAAGGGGGCTGCCTATTGGGAGGGGTGCTTGTTTGACATTATGTCATAGAGGGTGGGTGCTTATTTGGCAGAGAGTCCTTTATAAGGTGTGGGTGCTTATTTGGGGAAATACTGTCCGATGCATTTTGATGTTTTACCTTTAAGAGAAATTTTTGCAAATTAGTCTCTTTTTGGTAATCAAATTTGTTGCTTCATCTGAAGTTTAATTGTAAGTGCAACTTGTGCTCATGTGAAAAAAAAAATTGCTTCCATCCTGTGTGATTTCCTATTTATAGGTAAATGCAAACCCAGTAGAATATGCGTACAATGATGTCTCATGAAAATCAAATCGTCTTTAGGTTGACCACTGGCTGGAGTTTAGTATAAAGTCTGTGGAAAACCAGAAGACACACAGCAAGGCTCTTGAGTCCTTAAACAAGAGCCTTGCACCAGTTGCATTCCTTGTTGGGCACTCTGTGACACTAGCTGACTTTGCTGTGTGGGGTGCATTAAAAGGTGTGGAAATACTTAGTTGTTATTTCCTTCTTTTTTCCAAGAGCGTTGTTAAAAATAATAATTATTGACTTAATTTTCACGTAGATGCTTTAAGCTAAAACAGGGGTTTCAAAATTCTTTGAAGTGGGCATCAGACTCTGCGAAAGTAAGTGACAGTGATAAGTTAATTAAGAGCCAAAAGGTAATTATTTTGTCCAGAGTAACTGGAGACATGTTATCAAGTAGCCAGCTAAACTTGGGCATTTGCCGGCTTGTTTCCTGACTTATGTGGGCATTTGATTGGTTCTTGCATATGATTATGAACATTTTTTAGTGTTAGTACAGTGTTAGAAGTCAGGGGATTGTTTGTATCTCATAAAGTATTATATTATAGCAATCATTAAAGAATTTTTGATTGACAGCTTCATTCTGTTTGTTGGAATTGCAGGATCACCGGCTTTGGTACAATCATTATATATTCTCACTGAAGTGTCCACAAGTTCACCATAATGTCACTTTGATTCTTGTTTCCATCTCCTGTACCCTATTCCTCTAGTTCCTCCTCTCAATCTTACCTTTCACCTGCTCCTTTCCCTCATTTGCTTCTTTCCTGACCCTCCCCCCTTTAACTAGCTTCTATCTCTCTACCACCCCTACCTTCTCGATTCCCCTCCTTCTCCCTCCTCTTCTATATTGCCCAGTTCTCTCCCTCATCACTTCTCAGCATCTTACCCCATTTTCCTCCCTCCTCCCCTTCCCTTGCCAGCATCTAACTCCATTTTCCTCCTTCCTCTCTTTTTGCTGCGAGCATCAGTAACCCCATTTTCCTCCTTCCTCCCCTTCCCCTGCCAACATCTAACCCCATCTTCCTTTTTCCTCCTTTCTCCTTCCTCCTTCCTCGTTCCTTCTTCTTCCCTCCTCCTTCCTTCTTGCTACTCCCTCCCCTTCCCCTGCCAGCATCTAACCCCACCTTCCTCCTTTCTCCTGTCTCTTTCCTCCTTTCTCTTCCCTCCTTCCTCCTTTCTCCTTCCTCTTTCCTCTTTCCTCTTTCCTTCTTCCTCCTTCCTCCTTCCTCCTTCCTCCTTCCTCCCTCCTCCCTCCTCCCTCCTCCTTCTTCCATCCTCCTTCCTACTTCCTCCTTCCTACTTCCTCCCCTTCCCCTGCCCCTTTTGCCCCTGACTTTTTCTACTCCCCCATCCCCCTTACACCTTTTTTCCTCTTGGCTCCTTCTTCCCTTGAATGTTTTTTGCAACACTGATATAACTATGACCCAAGCATGCTTATTATCAAATGATTTAGTTTACTTTGTTGCTCAAACTTTTCATTTCTTTTCAGTGAAGGGCAAAGTTGAAACCCTGAGCCAACCAGGTTGCAGTTTTGAGCATATTGCCCGATGGTTGACATTTTGTGGAGCCCAGCCACCCTTCTGCAATGTTTCAGATAAACTTCCAAGTCAGGCTCAAACTGATCCTTCTCAATTGGGTGTAAGTGTTTTATATTGTGCAAACTTGAACACTCTTGATGATGACAAATTGTACCATCAGTTATATCTTTTGATGTATTTACCATCTGCAGAATCAAATGTGTGGTTAAATTACTGGGCAGCAGTAAAAGATTATTAAGGGTAGTTTAGTGTTATCAACTGAGTTGATAATGTAAATTGGCAACCATAAGGAGTTTCAAAGCTGTTATTTGTAACATTAGCCCTTTGTCCATTTGCTCTGACTTAGGGCTAATGCTTGGAATGTCAGCTTTGAAACTTTTTATGATGGCCGATTATGTTATCAACTCAGTTGATAATAATAAATTACCCTGTTATACCCTCCCACCAACACAGCACCACAGTTTCTTTAGAAACTTATTCCCTTTTTTTAAAAGATCATTAAGATTTTTTTTTTTTAAGTGCCAATTGGGCCACACAACTAGACCTTATCTTGGTTTCTATAACAGGAAGTAACCATCAGTATATGCTGCTCTTCCTGGTTGAGATGCTACAGTTACTGTAATTTATCACAGGTAGCCCTTGGCTAGCAATACATAAAGAGTTTCCCAAGTTCAGCCAATTATCCAGAGACCTTGAGCGTGAATCTGAAGTTCATGATAACTCGTAAATTTGAGTTTGACAAATTAAGACATCAATATTTTATTTGAGCTTTTTTGAGCTTTTGGTGCAATAATTTGCCAATGTTCCTTACATTTAGACAAAAATGAAGTCAGAAGGCAAGTATGTCAATCTTCCTGGAGCATCCCAGGGAAATGTAGTGACAAGGTTTCCACCTGAAGCTAGTGGGTAAGTTCAGAATTGTGTCCACTTTGTATTTTTCTTGTAGAATGTTTGTGTTTCTTTTTTTGTTTATTTTTTTTAAATTCTCCTCTCTAGCTGCAACACATTTCCATGTAAATTAGTTATGAGAATTTGGTGTTAGATCAAGATAAAAACTTGTTCCTGATGAGTTTGAGTAATTTCTTATTACCTTTTTGCTGCAAAATGTATAGATATTAGAGGGAGAAGTTGCATGTTGGTCACTTCTGGGACAGGTTTATAAGCATTATGGTAAAGTGGAACTGAATCACTGGCTGGCGGTGGCTTGGGGAAAAATTACAGCTGGGTGTATGTGTTTTGTTTTACGAAAATTTGAAACACAGCATTGTTTATGGCAATTAGGCTCAGGAGGAAATCCATGAGCTACAATGGACATGCAATAGTCCAAATGAAAAAGAGCAAGTTTAAGGAAATGAAGTAGGAATTGAACTATTGACTCCTTGGGTCCAACACTCATGTTTCTCATATTTTTCAAGCACATTGAATTGGGTTTAAAACCCATGTTCATTCTGAAAACATGGTGGCAATTGCAGTATGAAACTGCACCTGTCAGAGTTGTACAGAAAGTATATTTTTAAATGCTTTATCCTTCTCCAATAATTTTTTTCACAACCATTAACATTGCATATTTTATTCCAGTTATCTTCACATCGGCCATGCTAAAGCTGCTTTGTTAAATCAATATTACAAGAACATGTATGATGGCAAAATGATCATGAGGTTCGATGATACCAACCCTGCTAAGGAGAATGCTGAATTTGAGAAGGTCAGTATTCACTGAGATTTTAAGGACAGCGCAAGATTTCTCTTGATGTCATCTTGTGGCAACTGTGGAGAACAACTCCCTGACAAAAAAACAAACAAACAAACAAAATAAAACAAAACAAATTATGTTGTCACACAGTTGATTCACTTTTGGCAGACATACGGCTGTCAGTTTTAAGCACACCTGTAAGCCCACAGTCGGTAATCTTTTGGTTATCTGTCGGTCTAGGGTCGTGTGGGTAAACTTTTAGTAAATGGATGTGGATGGAATTTGTATAAGTATGTACAATAGGCTGAAATTTTCAAGGTTTTTTCATTTGTTATGAAAGAATAGTTTGAAAAGCTTTGAAATCACTCCGTCCTAAAGCAGGTAGACTGAACTCCGATTAAGACATTGCTAAAGCACAGTGAACCAATAGCAACACCCAAAACAGAATCGTTTATTCTCGACCCGCAATTGATGAATCATGGCGTATTTTAATTACATTTATTTTTTGGCTAGGTCATTCTGGAAGATCTCAAAATGTTGAAGGTCAAACCAGATATGTTCACGCACACTTCAGACCACTTTGACACAATCATGACGTTTGCTGAGAAGATGATCAGAGAGGGAAAAGCTTATGCAGATGACACTGCTGCAGACAAGATGAAGGAAGAGAGAGAACAGCGTATCAAGTCTGCCAACAGGGATAACTGTGAGTTTTGTGTTATTAAATGTAGAAATATTGTCATGCAGCAGGAAGGAGGAAAATGGGGTTACTGATGCTGGCAGTAGTTTTCATCGTTACGAAAGAAAAGAGTAACGCACACACGAATAAGAGCGTGCTAGGGGCGAACGAACGAATTCAGGCGCGAACGAACGAATTCAGGCACGTGCGCACGCATGCACGCACAAACGGACCAATGGTTGATCCGATGCTCAACCTCTAAGTAACAGAGATCTCTGTAGTGTGCTAGGCCACCATTAGGTTCACACATCCGACACACGTCCTCCATACTTCTTGGGAAAATGGCTCATCTTGGTCGTCGAATTAAAAAATAACAATGATGTTATTTCGCTTTGAGACACTCACATAACCACAACAATACTTATGTCTCGTTGTCCCTACATTTCACTTTACTGGAACTCTCATTTGTTGGACTTATTTATTCCATTTGCAATTGCTTTCTCAGCGGTAGAGAAGAACCTTGAAATTTGGGAAGAGATGAAGAAAGGAACAGAGTATGGCCAAAGATTTGCCCTAAGAGCCAAGCTCGATTACCAGTCAGAAAATGGCTGCATGAGAGATCCAACTATTTATCGATGTAAGCCAGAGGAACATGTGCGAACTGGAACAAAATACAAGTATGGCCGCCTTTTTTCCTTTTCTTTGTGTTCCCTCAGCTTTACCCTTCAAACCCTTTAACTCCCAAGATCTGACTGCTAATTCTCCCCTTTAGCTGCTACACCTTTCATTGCGAATCAGTTAGGAGAATTTGGTATTAGATATAGGTCACAACCTCTACCTGATAAATTCGATATTGATATTGTGGGGAGAAGTTACATGTTCGTCACCTCTGGAAGTTAACACCCACGAGTGACCAAGAGAGACTTTCTCCCTACAATATCAATACAATTGAAAGCAGACAGTTGATGAGAATAAAAAAAATATATCAACAAGGGGATTCTTAGTTGATCTGATAGCAAATTATCAGAACTAACATCATAACGCATGACGACTGTATGACAGACATTAGGGAGAATTACTCGTTAGATCTTGGAAGTGAAAGGGCCCAAGCCGCGATGTACTGCTCCGTGATGGGACGTTTGTATTCAGATAAACGTCAAAGACCCAGAACTAAAAACACTTCAGCAGCCAAACTCGTACCTGAAGTTGGTCGCGAATACTAAACGACCTTACGCAGTGAACTGAGGCATATCGCAAAGAACCAGTGGAAACTCAACGAGGTTGACACACGTGACTAGGAATGTCCTGATTGTTGAATAAAGATGCGCAAAGTGATAGTGAAGAGAGCTGAAGGCCATTAGGGCACCAAGGCGAAAGTGCCCCTTAGTATTGGAATATTGACTGTAATGTATTTCTTTTTTAACAGAGTGTATCCCACATACGATTTCGCTTGCCCCATTGTGGACAGTATTGAGGGAGTAACTCACGCCCTGAGAACCACAGAGTACCATGACCGTGATCCACAGTATTATTGGTTTATTGAGCAGTTGGGTAAGTAGTTCTGCCGTGATTACACTCTGCATGTGCTTATGTCAATTCAGTTATTTATATCGGAGGATTTTAGAATTTTCTGGACGTGTCTGTCTCCACTTAGGGTTATAAATGAGTACAAGTCGAGGGTTTTAAAAACTTTTTTCCATAAGCCGCTGCCGGTAATATAATCGGCGGTTTTGCCCGGAAAAGGGCCTAAAGGCGAAACCCAACACAAGAGCCTGCACGCATGCTCGACAGACGGCGATAAGAGGTCTTACAGTCAGCGGTATACTGCCTGTAACCGGCTTTTATCGAAACCCCTGTTGGTAAATTATCAGGGAATGTGGACGAAAGAGTAAAGGGGGGTAATTTTCTAGAGAAAATGTGGTGCTGCGTCGGTGGGAGAGTATAACAGGGCAATTTAATATTATCAATTCAGTTGGAAACGTAAATATGCCACCGTAAGGCGTTCAAAAGCTGAAGTTTCAAGCGTTGGCCCAAGAGTGAATGTTGACGAAAGGCAGGGTTAACGTGCGTTTGACTAGCCACCTGTTTTTTGGAAATTGGCATAAACTCCTGAGGCTATGTGATTCAGTTAATTAAACAAAGGTCTTCTGACAATTATTTTTCTTTTTTACAGGCATCCGAAAGCCATATATTTATGAATTCAGCCGGCTCACGCTGCAAAACACTGTCATGTCAAAAAGAAAGCTGACCTACCTCGTAGATCAAGGATATGTCGAGGGATGGTGAGTGTTACGTGCAGTTTATTTCGTACCATTTGCTGGTGTTGTGTTGTTTATATCAATTTTTATTTATTTGGATTTGTTTTTCCTTCTTCTTTTTTTTCTGATTTCACCTCCTTTTTACATGAAGGAATTTCTTCTTCAAAAGGCCTTAAGTTATGTAACTTGAAGTTTGTTTCTGATTTCATGACATTCTCAGGGAAGATCCAAGATTTCCCACAGTTCGTGGCGTGCTCAGACGAGGAATGACTGTGGAAGGGTTGAGAGAGTTTATTGTGTTGCAGGTAAGATAAGGATTTTGCAAACAAATGAGCAAGTTTGTAGACTAGTTCCTGAAAAAAAAAACCCGGATATCACTTAAAATTGTAGAATTGCTGATATTAGAGGCTAGTGAAAAAAGAAAAAACATCGTGTTGGATCGTTTGCAGCGTAAAACTCGTTCCTGATAGAATGACTTTTAGTTAATATTTTGCTGGTAAGAATTGACGCACATTAGGTTGCGTTACGTTAACACTTAAACCCCTGAGAGTGACTAGCATCTAACTTCTCCAAACATTACTTTTTTGAGTCGAACTTCAAAGGTTATGAGAATATAGGAAATGACCACCTACTCAAGAAGCTTTAGATTGTTAGACAAATTCTCCTTGTCATTACCATAGGAAACCTGTAAGGAATAGTGTGAAGAATATGTACGCTGATGTTTGGCTGTAGAGTGTTGATTGACGCATACTTGCTTAGAACCCTTTACTACGTGTGTTTAGAATGGGGTTTGCTAAATGATTTGAGATTTTTTTGTGCTAAAAATCCTAGAAATAATAATTTTTCTAGGTGAATCTCATAACCGTGTGCCATGCCTTATTTTTCAAAATGGGGCCGAAAAGCAATGGCTTTCATGAAACGCATTTCACTGTGACATCAATTTATTTTATATTCACTTTGTATTTCAGGGTTCATCGAAAGCGAATGTTCATATGGAGTGGGATAAGATTTGGGCTCTTAACAAAAAGGTTTGTTGGGAAAAAAACCGAATTAAATTCCTCAAAATCATGTTTTTAACACATTTCTTCACCAAATTTTGTTTGTCGAATGAGGATGGATTTTTAGGTTAAGTGAAGGGTACGTCAATTTTGTTGAATGTTTTGATTCTAATGAAGTTCGCTCTTATTTTTCTTCTTTCTTAGGTCATTGATCCCATAGCACCAAGATACACAGCTCTCTCAAAGAGCGATGTTGTGCCTGTGTATATCCCTGAGGCCCAAGAGGAGATAAAATTATGCCCGTTGCATCCTAAGGTACGTTGCAATTATCCATGCGATTTTTTTTCCTTCTACGAAACGTTTTAAGAGAAGGCTATTATGTTGCCGTCCGACATCGTGACTCTTTACTGAGTTTACGCACTTCCTAGTGATCGCTCTTGATAAGAATCCAACTCGAATGTGTAGAGGTTGACTTTTTTTAATTGTTTACGTCTACTTTTCATTTACCACGGAACTGATTGATTATGAAGAAATAAACTGTCGGGCGTCGACTGTAATCAGAGATTCCTTGCTTTACCTCGCTTTATGATTGGTCCATAAAAACTTGCACTCCACTAACCAATCAAATGCACATATGAAGCCAGTCATGACTTCGTCAGTCGCGTTTTCCCGCGCAGTCTTCGTGTTTTTTTCTCTTAGTTCTTAATTATTGGCTCTTGGAGATATCCACCTTTGTTCTGATTGGTTCCTGTAATCACTTGCACTCCGTTTTGGTTTTACCAGATTGACATCAAAGTAACTATTTTTGTCTCTGAACAGAACCCCAGCGTGGGTAGCAAAGAAGTCTGGTACGGGCCAAAAGTTTTCATCGAGGGAGAGGATGCTGCCGCGCTTTCTGAAGGGGAAATGGTCACACTAATGAACTGGGGCAACGCTAAGGTCACAAAGATTAACAAGTAAGTGGTGTCACGTTCGGCTTACGTCGAAGCAACCAATACACAGTTTTCCTTCGCGTGTAGGTACGTAGCCGTAGAAGTAATTGTCTCGGCAAGCTAACAAGAGCAAATTTGTCCTCATGACCATTCGGAGTTTCCGTCATTAATTTGACCACTTCCAGGCATTCAGTCAGTGATCAGGGTTTTCACTCGTCCAGTACTATCGTGCCATTTACTATTTTGCTTCTTTTCATTGACTGAACGCTTGGAACAAGCTACCAGTAGTTTCCTCATCAAGACACCTGCATTCTTCGTTTATAGTTTGTTCTGTTTTAAACTTTCAGTCGTCAAGAGCTGGCTTGTGAGACTATGTACTTGGATAGTCCCGATTTCCAACTCTTACTCGAAAATCATTCTGTTCTTATATTCTGGTGTCTTTTTTCCTCAGGAATCCATCTGGAGGAGTGAAATCAGTCGAAGCAGAGTTGCATCTCGATAACAAGGTATGGGAAATCATTGGATCAACCTAAAAACTTAAATTGATTAACACATTTGATTTTGAGCAAATTTGTAAATATAATTCCACAACTTAGACAACTATTAGTTTACATCGGGACCCAATTTTTCAAAATTATAATTTGTTTTAATGTTATTTTATTTTTTCAGGATTTTAAGAAAACGGCTAAACTAACATGGATCGCAGAGTCTGCCAAAGCACCACTGCTTCCTACGATCGCGGTCGAATTCGATGACGTCATCTCCAAGCCTATTCTCACAAAGAATGATGACTTCAAGAACTATATCAACAAAGATTCTAAGGTGGGAAACCTGAGCACTCGTGGAAAGCAACAGTTTTGTGCAACGATTTTCACTTAAACTTACTGCTGCAGCGCAATAAACTGGACTGTTAAAACATTATGAGAAGTTTGGTACGAGACCCCCCAGCAAACTTCTCCCTGACTTGTCTCAAATCATCCCTCTCTTTAAATCATTGTACCGTGTGGTGAAAAGTACCGCATGAAAAAAAATTCTTGGTAGCTTTCAATTGAATGGTCGCATGTGGTTTCACTCACATACTCAGTAGCTTGAACTTCCTTGGAACACCACATTAAAATACTAGTCACTAGCTTTTCTTGTAAATGATAACATGATTGTTTGTCCACAACATTGAAAACGCGATTCAGTTTTTGCAGCATACGCGCGAAAAACAATACCACATTTAGAAATTAAACTGTCTCATGAAGAAACCCTTATTTAGATAAATTCGAAACACAGGTGGTAGTCATGTATTAATACAAGTTTTGAGAGCAACAGACGAATCCTCTCTCTATGGGTTTTTTGTTTTTTGGTCTTTACAGCATGAGACAGAAATGTTTGGAGATCCTGCAATGGCTTCACTAAAGAAAGGAGACATTATCCAGCTTCAGCGGCGAGGCTATTTTATTTGTGACCAACCTTACGAGCCACCAAGGTAATTGCTAACTTAAAAAAAAAAAAAAAAAAAAAAAAAAGAATAAATAAGAAACATCGCTTTGGTCTCGTCTTTTTTATTTTTATTATTATTATTATTTTTTTATCATTATCATGATGTAATTTAGGCTTGTTTGATACTAAGTCCGTGTAGTGGTTCCATCAATCTGATGTGGCGGGCTTAAGGGTAGATTCTTTGGTCATAGCTTCGGTTGCTGCTCAATATACTTTGCTGCTTTGCTTGCTTAGTGTCCCTCTCTTCCTTCCACTTTTATTAAATTATTCCACTACCGGTCGGTATGTTCATAGGTATCTGAAGGTGGGCGGTGGCTCAATGGCTACGGGGAACCCTTGATGCTGAAGAAATTGCTCCCCTCCTCTGTGATTTTTTACAAAGTGTTTTGATAACAATACTTAATCATTTGACCCCGAAGAGAGACTAGCATCTACTTTCTCTCTCCATTATCACCCCTGAATCACACTTAAAGTCAGGAGAATTAAGGAAATGATTACCAACTAAAGCTCTTGATTGTTCAACAAATTCTCCTTATCAACACCCTGGGAAATGCGTTGAGAACAGTATAGAGAATATGCACACTGATGTTAAGGTGTAAAGGCCGGTCCTAGATTATCGGCTAAAGAGTATAGTTGTATAACTTAATGTATGACAATAGTGTTCTGTTGATGTGTTTGTTGCAGTCGTTACACCGGTCGTGAAAATCCATGCATCTTGTTCTCTGTCCCTGATGGTCACACCAAACCGTCGCCAACTGGAGGCGCCAAAGCTAAGGTAATTCTTAGTAGGAAACTAGGGTTTAAACTGAATTAAGGGAAAAATCTATCATACTTCAGTGCACAGGCTTAATACGTTTCCTGCGGGGCAAAACTGGAGAAAAATTGCTTTCTTTTACACCTAGGGGTTTTTAGTAGTGTTGTCAATCCCTTCATTCCCATAGGATGCTTGTCTCCAAGCGTCGAAACTATTTCTAAATTAGTTCGACTTATATTTAGTTTTTATTCCTCAATCAGGAACTTGTGGTGAGCCAAAAAGTGGTAAAAATGTCGAGGGAAATTTCTTGCATAAAACAATTTATCAGGTTGCTTAAAAATTAAACTTATTCGTGCGATAGTGAAGATTTTAGCGCAGTGATTATTCTAATCCTGGTGGTGTTTCATTAAGCGGAGGAAAGAGATAACTGGAAACACGTTAGCGTTTGTAAGCTAGTGCCTCATTCACAGACTGTTTACTCTGTTTCCCTCTCATTCAGTGCAATTCATAATACCAGATGATTAGCAACCTCTTTCTTCGTGACTGTTTGTAATCGAATTCAAGTTAATGACTTGATTTTTGTCGAATAGCTCGTGTTTTCATACTTGATTTCGTTCTCATGTCCAGCGAGCGGTAAACTGCAAAGACGCACTCTAATAATGTAAGAGGAGAAAAAAAGAATGTTTCCTTTAAAGAGATCGGTTCACTTTTACCAATTTATTTGTTGGATAATTTATCCGTGAAATATCATGAACTGCCGTCTTTGGTAGATTTCCATCAGGCGTTCTTTGTATGTCCAGTTTGTGGCAAATTAGGACTGGGATCGAGATATGTTTTGAGGTACACGTGGATACATTTCCTCGGGGTTTCGCACATTCAGACAAGGTATTGGGAAATAATTCTACGATATTCATCTAAGTAGAATAAATTTGGATTAGTATTGCACGTTGACAAGATTTTAGGAAATATATATCAGGAAATTATTTTTTTCAAGAAGTAAGGAATTTAGCTTCATCTCTTACGATCGATCGTATCGAATGTTTCCATTGTTTGCATGCCGTGAAAATATTGGTTTGTAAACATGCAAATTGTTTGGGGGTTCGGTGGAGTGTTCTCTCGTTGCCATGTAAATATGAGAACGTTTGATCGGATTTTTTTTTCTCTTATTAGCAAGCGAGATGAGTCATGTCTATGTGCTTTTGTTTTGCGAGCTAGTGCTTAGATAGATGATCGTGAATGCGCGAATTAATTAATGGACTTAGCTTCCGATCGTTCTCTGCTGATCGACTAAGTAAGGATCTTTTAGTATTTAGGAGCCAAACGCTTTGAAAAGTTTATTTTTTGGTGTGAAAGGAAGAGTTGTTTGGTTGTATTAATAACTATGGAAATCGCTAGTATTTACAATGAAGTTAGAGCAACATGTCATTTGATTTACATCTCAAATTATCTGTCGCTGCCGTTGCTATACAACGCGAAATTTTGAATAATCTATTCTATTTTTAAAGACCTAGGACTTTATTGATGATTATTCTTAAAATAGAGTAATGCATATTAACTTCTTTTTATGCCACTTTGGCGAATGTTAACTTGTTGTAATTGAAGATGGAAGAACAAAGAATGTGTCAAATTCTAAACATTTCTTATTGTCTGCAGTCTTGAATGATCTTTTGTTTTATTGGCTTGATGTATTAATGGCAATATAGTTTATGGACATACTGGCCTTGAAACCCATTGTAGTCCATGTATTTATGTCACACAAAACACAAGGGAATCAATGCTGTTCCCCACGGTAGGGGATGACAGTCCATCATAGAAAACCCCTCTTCCCTTCTCAGCATTTTGCTAAGTTTACAGACATTTTTCCAATACCCTTTTTAACTCCTGAATGGAGAGGGAGTAACTGTTAAAGTGAATTGTTTTGCTCAAGAGCACATCAAAGAGACCCCAACAGGACTTGCAGTAGGAACTTTCAGTCTGGTCTCTATTTCCCTAAACACAATGTCACCTTGTCTCTCTTGGAGATAACATCATGTGTCTTCTTTGACTTAAAAGGAGACAGGAGGCCACAAGAAAAGTGAGAAGAAGAGTGACAGTAAAAAGAAAGACAAAGGGGAAAGCGTCAAACCATCTGCTGCAATGAATGGAACAGACTCCCCAAAGCCTACTGCATCTCCTGAACAAGTTGAAAAACTTAAAAGTGAAATAACTGTACAAGGGGACAAAGTTCGCAATCTCAAGTCTGGTGGAGCCCCCAAGGTACAGGCTGATATTTTCAACATGCACCAGATACTTCATTGTCTGATTGAGAACTAAAAAAGGTCATCAATGGATTGGCTTGCAAACAAATTACTGTTCATGTTTGTAGTTTAGTATTCTCTCAGAGAACAATAACATTGTATATACAATGAATATTCCTTATGTTTATATTTTTATGAGTTTCTCCATGAAATGTGATTTTATGACAAAATGATTTTAATCAATTTTGTTTATTTTATATTTATTTATTTATTTATTTATTACTGAATATTCAGGAGGAAGTTGATGCAGCAGTTGCAGAGCTACTGAGGTTAAAAGGAGAGTATAAAAATCTTACAGGAGAAGATGTTGCTGGTGGTGGGAGAGGAAAGAAAGAGAAAAAGAAAGAAAGTGGAAAAGAAAATGCTAAAAAAGATTCAAAACCTGTTAATAAACAGGAAAAAACAGTGACTGAGAATGGTGATGCCGACAGTGGAGCTAAGAAAATCACTAGGTTTGTGATGAGTTAGCCAATTTTCACCCTAAGGGTTCAACTTAAATAAAAATGTTGTGATTTTTTTGAAGGAATAGAGTGCGTGAAATTTTTTTTGTCAAATTACAGGCTGGGTCTGGAGGCTAAGAAAGAAGAAAACCTGAGTGATTGGTTTTCTCAGGTAAGAGAGTTTTGTACAATCACTAATCATTAACTAAGGTAGAGCACAGCTAAACTTCTTAAACTGCTTCTTAAGGGTGTTACTTACAAGGTGCTTAAAATCCTTGGCAATTGGGAATTTAATTTTTTTTTTTTCAAGTGTATGTCTCTGATTTGGCAGACAGATGAAGACTATTCTGGTCTGTTTTTTTTTTTTTATCTCTGATCATGTGGAATTGTCTGCTATTACATGGAAAAACTGGAAGGTTCAGTCTCTATTTTCCCCACTTATCAACTAATTCTTGGTTAGTTGGCCATTAAGGTGTACATGTACATGGATGTGAAAAATGTTGAATGTGTTTGTTGATCATTTGAGGTGATTTCTTGATCTTAACTTCTTAGCACCAGTCCAGTCAGATTCAGTTCCAGTACAATGTGTGACACAGACATCTGAGGGGGAGGGGGAGGGGTAGAAGGTGTGAGGAAACATCCTGTAAAAATAAAAGTTGCAAAGCTTCAGATCATCAAATTTCTCACTCAGGGTTGGCTTTACTTGCATGTGAGTTTTACATTTAATAGTTTTCCTGGAAGAGCATTTCAATGTTGTCATTTTTAGGTCATAACAAAGTCAGAAATGATTGAGTACTATGATGTCAGTGGCTGTTACATCCTGAGGCCTTGGTCCTATGCCATATGGGAGCGTATAAGAGGTACTGCATTAAGAAAGCAAGAGTTACTTTTTTACAGCAGACAGTAGAGAGATTGATTACATGTACTTAGATCTTGGGTTTGGTCACTTTGTCTTTGTCTTTTTTTTTTCAGTAATTGTAGCCATTCTAACAGAAAGATGCAATTATAATAATTATTGTTCCTTTGATTAGAAGTTTTCTCAAAACAGATGCACTAATTTGCACTTATTTTTCTCAGATTTTTTCGACAGTGAAATAAAAAAGCTTGGAGTGGAGAATGTATATTTCCCCATGTTTGTGTCCCAGTCAGCTCTGGAGAAGGAGAAAACACACATTGCAGACTTTGCACCAGAGGTACTTAAACGAAAGCTTCAAAAAAGTGATTAAAAATAAAGATGGAGAAACAAACAGTCAGATGGACATACAGAAAGGCAAACACAGAGAGATACAAAAAGACAGACAGACATATAGGGCCTGTTATTTAAACAAAGTTTAGCAGTTGCTTAACAAAACTGAGTTCTTAGCCATCTTCAATTCAGTCAATCTTTTATCTGAACATTTATTTTTGTGACCATTGTCAGGAGGGCTGAAAGCTGAACCCTTTCACTCCTAAGATCTAATAAGTAATTCTCCCTACTATCTGCCATACAATTCTTATAATGTTAGTTCAGAGAATTTGGTATTGGATCAACTAATAATCCCATGATTGATATTCTTCTCTATTCTCATCACCTGCCTGCTTGATATCATATTGATATTGTAAGGAGAAATTCTGTCTTGGTCACTTGTGGGAGTGAAAGGGTTAATAGTGGAAGGACATTTATTTCATGAAATCAACCCTCTCAAAGAAAATCCCTGACGCCCACTACTTGTGTGAAACCGCTGTTTGGGTTAGACCTTCAGTAAGACATACTCACAAAAGGACAGAGGGATGGAGGGATAGATATCAATAATTTAAGGCTACAAGCATTATGATGTTGGAAGGAAGTAGTTTGATTAATAACTTGCTTATAAACCTTTGGAGACATCACAATTCTAAGATTTGTGTCAAGAACAGAATAAAACTAAAGTACAAGAGATTTAAAAGAGAGGGGTCTGGGCTTTTCTTATTGCTGTAAAACTGAGAATAGAATACATGTACTTACCGGTATTTGTTGTTGTTGTTGTTGTTATTGTTGGTGTTGTTTTTTTTTTTTTGCCCAAATGCTGACTGCTGCTTTCTGTCATCTAGGTTGCATGGGTAACAAAGTCTGGCCAATCAGAACTGGCAGAACCAATTGCGATCAGACCAACCAGTGAGACAGGTAACCTTGGATTAAGTATAGTGATGTTAAATGATTATTTCCAATTGGTGAGCCATGTAACCTTTGCACTGTCCGTTTCTACTTACAGCGGTTATGTTCTATTTTTAAAGCAGCCTTTTTTGTTTTCTTTAAATAGTTATGTATCCAGCTTATGCCAAGTGGATCAAGTCACACAGAGATCTGCCTCTGAAACTTAATCAATGGAATAATGTTGTGGTTTGTAGGCAAACTTTCTAGAAGTTATTACTTTTTCTTCTCTGGCTCTTATTTTAGTTGTGTTCTGCTAGTCTTGTTGTTGTTATTGTTGTTGTTGTTGTTTACCTTCCCTAATGATTTGTTCTTGTAGAGATGGGAGTTCAAACATCCTCAGCCTTTCCTTAGAACTCGCGAGTTTCTCTGGCAAGAGGGACACTCTGCCTTTGCTACATACGATGAAGCTGTTGAAGAAGTAAGAAAAACATTTATATCCACACCAACTTTTAAACAAAATTATTCACACCTACTATGTAGCTGTTAGTCTGAAGTGTTAGCCAACTCCTTGTCCCGACCTCCCCTCGGGTTCCCAGGCCGCCCTTTAGGGGATTAGGGTGAGGTCGTAAGGACACTTCGTTCCGACGTTTTAAGTTTCAACATAGCGTAGCTATTATCTTTTATTCATTTCATTATCTTTTAATGAATGATCTTTTTTTGTGTGTGTGTAATGGCATGCGATGTTATCTGGAAAGTGACAAGGAAAGTTAAGATAACTGTACCTTAGTTGTGAAAAGCGATCCTTGGGTAGAAGGTTGCGACTGTTTGTGGTATTTTTTAAAAAGATTTTTCGGATAATTGGTATTGATCTCATCTGTGTAATTTTGAGATACTGTTAAATTATCTTCGATCTGTAGGTTAGTTCCAATTAGAGTCAGCTCTTCCCCTGTAAGAGAACCGTTGTGCGATGTTGCATTTTAAATTAATCCCTTCGTGCTGTTGATTTTCATTCTTTTGCCCAGGTGTACACAATTTTAGATCTTTACCGTCAAGTTTACACCGATCTCCTGGCCATTCCGGTCATCAAAGGAAAGAAAACCGAGAAGGAAAAATTCGCAGGAGGTGACTTTACTACAACAGTAGAAATCTACATATCAGCCAGTGGACGAGGAATCCAGGTTTGTTTTACGTTGATTCCAAGATTGCCGTTTTAAGCAATGAAAAATCTACATTATGTTTTTATCATTTCGTCGTTTTGTCGTCTGAAAGTTTTTTGACTCTAACAATCAGTAACATCATGGCTAAAACTGACCAATCGGTCGAAACGAACCCGATTTTCCTCTTTAGGTAAAATAACCGACAACTCTTCTTGTAAACTCTGATGATGACTTTTTCTCAACTTACCCAAACTTCAATTTCTGTTAACAACAAATGTCTATCTCAGGTAATTTTAAAGTGCAAGAGTACTCTGCGCGACAAAGTTAACTATTTTTGTTAAATGGTGTTTCTTTTTGACCTAAATTGATTAAGGATATCTGAGGTTAAATAGAATTATGGCCAGCAGTCTCAGGCCCTAATTATGAGCGGGACTTTCCAGGGCGCGTTTATTTTTGCGGTGCTCTGTTTGGCGTCAAGTCACCTCTCTTCGATTGTGTTGCGTGCCTCATGCACCACTGACAGATTTGAAAATGTAGGTAATTAACGATGATTTTACTCTTGCTGTATCTCAGGGTGCGACGTCCCATCATTTAGGACAGAACTTCTCCAAGATGTTCGACATCGTATTTGAGGATCCAGATCCAGCAAAACAGGTTAGTACTCGTCCTTGTTTGCTATATATAGGATCATAGTCCATCGCAAAGATTTCCCTTCTTTCACTCCTCTTTCCCCCCCGCTCCCGTTCGAAAATTTTGGGAAAAAAACGAGCATTATGATGAGGATCGAGGAGTTGTTATTTTACTTGTCTAATTGCCATTTTTGTTATCGTAATGCCAGTTTAGAATTGCCTTGGCAGCCAACATGGCAGTAAACACCTATTGGGAACATAAAAGGGAAATAAATAAAAATGAAAATAAAACACAAATTGAGTTAAAGGTTATAATTGAAAGTAGACGGTTTAATGTGTTGTGTCCATTTACTTTTTAAAGGACAAAAGATTCGTGTATCAGAATTCCTGGGGTCTCACTACTCGAACAGTTGGTGTCATGACAATGGTACATGGCGACAATCAAGGACTTGTACTGCCTCCTCGTGTTGCGTCAATTCAGGTAACTTGGCAATCTCTCTAGCACTATAGTGATTGCGTTTGGAGTGATTGTCGTAAAACCAAACCCAAATAACCACAACAGCCAATCAGATGTAAGGAAAATATCGCGAGGAACCAATGAGAATTCGAAGAAAGACAAGCGAACTGCCACAGGCGCGGGTAAACGTCCGTGACCAAGTCACGCTTGGCTTTAGTTTTGAATCTGATTGGTTGAGGATTGAAAAACTACTCTCTACCAATTTTTTTTTGAAATGATTCTTCTAGTAAACTTTTGGATGGACTTTTGAAGCTATGAACAAAAGCTATGGAAAGATGTTAATTTAAATCTCATTTGTTACGAACGAGTAACAAAAATCCGAGTCCTCAGATCCAGATACCTCGCATGGCGCTCTGTCGCAGGCATGTTACACTCGACCTCATTTTTGCAGGCCGTGATTGTTCCCTGTGGTTTAACTGTCAACCTTCCCGAAGACGAGAAAACCAAGCTTCTAGACAAGTGTAAACAATTAGAGCAGAGGCTCAAAGCCGCTGGAGTGAGAGCCAAAGGCGACTACAGGGATAATTATTCTCCAGGATGGAAATTTAATCATTGGGAATTGAAGGTATGTGAAACCACAGTTAGTCCAAGCTCGAGCAATAAGCCTGCGTTGATTTCGAAATGTGTCAATCATTTTTCTTTTCTAGGGTGTGCCTCTTCGTATCGAAGTTGGACCTCGTGATCTGAAGTCCGAACAGGCTGTCTTGGTACGGAGAGATACTGGAGAAAAGGTGAGGGGATTTTAGGGCTTTTCTCTCTTACCAAGGTGATATGTTGTAGTTTCCATATCGTGAAGTATAATTTTGCTCGCAGAGAAATGCTTCGGTGAATAGCATCAAAAAATATAAACAATTGTACGTTGAACAACAGGAGCATGAAAAATCTCTTTTGCAGCTGCAGTATCCTCAATCCACAACGCATAAAAGAAAAAAAACTCTTTTTTTTTTCATTTGTAACATCTAGCGTGTTATCAAGCAAGCTGGTATTGAGAAAGAAATTCCAGAAACTTTGGAGCGTGTTCATTCCGACATGTACCAGAGGTAACTGCTATATGTTAATATCATGTCGGCTTCAATTTTTAATTTCCATAGGAAAATGAGAGAGAGCTAGACCTTGCTGTCTCTAGAACGTGCGTAGTTGTAATCTGTCAGAAAAATCGCGAGCGTTCGAAGATCTACTTCGATCATTTAATGAAGAGGCCACCTTAAATATGATTGGCCGCAAAAGATGGGAAGAGTGACAAAACTACTCTTGATATAGTAGAGTGGGAGAAGAATCTAACTATCCTCCCCCCCATTCCCCCACCCGTAAGCGCCGGTTTTGGCAGGGTCATTTTGGAGAAGTTAACGTGCTGGCACTAACTTTTATTTCAATCGCATTTTATAACAGAGCTAAAGAAGATCTGGATGCAAATCTTGCTGTAGCTCACACCTGGACTGAGTTCAATGCTATGCTGGATAAACAAAAGGTTTGTTTTCGCTCGAGATAAACCCGATACCCAAAAAATATCAGCCGGGGCTTATGAGATCTCAAAGGACTGACCACAAGCAAAGTGCCTGAACCGCGGGAAAACGCGGCTGACAAAGTCACACGTGATTTTAGTTTTGTATACGATTGGTTTAAAGCGTGGTACGCCTTTTAGAATTATCGAGCTAAGTAAAGCTTTAAAATTGCTTTGGACGCTCGAGTAAACACTAAAACATTGTAGCAATGAACTTGCAATGAAGACTCCAGCTAAATTTTTCATGTTGGTTATTTTGTAATTCGTGAAAATGATACCCTCAATCCATTGCCACCTTCTTTTACTTAATGTTTTCTTTTTCTTCCGTTTTCCCCGCATATACCTAAACAGGTTTGTAAGCTTTTATGACATAACTGTTCGGCTGAGTTAAAATTACATATATTGCGATCTTTTCAGATCATCCAAGCGCCGTTCTGTGGCGACGGTTCTTGCGAGGGCAGAATTAAGAAGGACAGTGCAAGGTAGGAAGCCAGAGCCGGGCATGACAAGAGAATAATACATATTGTCGTAAACAACCTGATGCAATGGAAGTGTAATGAATCTGCGTAATTCACTAAGCGCGAGGTCAAGATGGCCGGTTATTAGTCTATTGCTGTACAATTTCCCACAGAGAAAGAGGAAGTTTTTAAGGCCGCTACAATGAGATGCCATTTAGGACTCAGAACTCTTTTCGGTACCGTAGCTAATGAGTGCGCTGGATTCGTTTCAGTAGGCATTCGGAACACAAAATTTGCTTTAATTTGCCTCACCGCTTAGCGCGCCATCTGGTGAACAGCAAACTCTGTAAGGAACTTCCTTCCTAACACTCATTTTTCATGTACACTAGGTTGACACCCACCCTTTTGACATAAATGTTTTACTGCTGTGACTTTTACTTGTTCAACCTTCCACACATCTCTATATTTATTATTTCAGGGACCAAGATTTAGAGCCTGGTGCACCATCAATGGGGGCAAAGAGTTTGTGCATTCCGTTCGACCAGCCCATGGAGATCACTGCTGACACAAAATGCGTATACCCTGGGTGCCCACAGGCGCCAAAATGTTACACACTTTTCGGCAGGAGTTATTAAGACCTCGCTCAGTCTTCCAAAGAATTTCTTTTTCTCCAAGAAACCTTAAATTCTAATGATAAATTTTTCCCCGATGTCTTCGAGTCCTCTTCAGGTGTGGAGTCAAATGAGTGGTGCAGTTTTCATGCACAGGTTTCTGGAATGCTTGAAGCTCCTAGTTTTACTAGAATCGAAACCAGTCTTAGCAATTTTCATCAGTTTCGTAGCGAGTTTATCTAAGTCCAGGGAAAGTAAGTAACTTTTGGCACCGTGCGTCAAACAACGTATCTTAGGTGGGAAATTAGAATCTTCATCAAAGGAAAAGTAAATTAACGAGATAATAAACGAGATATCTGAAACATGCAACCAAGGGAAGCTTTGTAAGCTCGTGAGAAGAGATACTTGGTTTGTCTGCATCCTGATTTACGCTAGTTGTTAGATAGCTCTAGCTGGTTATTTCAAGCATATAGTAAATGTACTGTCTCTCCATACGGAGATCTTAACCCTTGGAGCGTAGATTGTGACAGAGTTAATAACTGCGAAATGACACTGAAGCCACAGGCGATAATAAAGATTTCAGAGTTCAAACGATATTATAAACTTCAAGCTTCTAGTTAATTAACTTGTCTCTCGTACGCGCCAATGTTTGTTAACGTTTGCAAAACATTCAGTTACCGGCAAACGTGGGTGAAAGTGTGTGGTGCATTTATTACGGGTGTTTTCAGGATTTCAAGTATTCGCTGATGATGGTAACCATTTTTGATGGGGGGCGCAAATGTGGATAAGCTGTGCGTTACCACAAACTTGTGTTCGGACTTCTCTCGAGGTAGGGGAGGGGAAGTTGCGCTCGAACTACTTCAAGTCAGCTTTCAGGGATATGAGGCGTTGCGACCTTTGCATTTACTTGTTATTCAACAAACATTTTCTGAACTAAACCAATGTGAATATATGGAAGTCGTATATATTTCACTACTGCTCAAGTAGTGTTCATTACTGCGAAGATCGCTTTCATATTCACGTCTTTATCCGAAGTTCAAATATATGACTTTCATATATTCACATTCGTTTATTCACCACTTCACGGGTTTATTTGGTACCAAAATAATGACCAGCTCCCAGTTGCAATTGGCTTGTTAGCTCAGATGGTAGAGCACTGCACAGGTATCGTAAATGCCATGGGTTCAAATTCCGTACAGGCCTGAATTTTTTTCAGGCCTTATTTTCACGACTGCTCAAGTAGTGTTTATTATTGCGAAGATCGCTTTCATATTCACATTTTTTGTTCTATTGAAACATCGCCAGAAATTGGAAGTAGAGATTCGGCAGATATGCATAATGTTTAGTTACAAAAAGGTATACCGACTATCTGCTGGTTAGAAAGCGCGCGGACTCAGGATCCACTACGGCGATATGGCACTGGTGACGAAGCTACGGATAGTTTTACTATGGCGGTGATTTTGAACTAAGAAGTGATCTGGAAGGTTTTATTGTCAGCTTTCTCGGACAGCTCTGGGTGAGTCGTTATTGTTCTTGTCTAAATCAGTGCATTTTTTCTTTCTTAAGCTTTAAGTGAATATACAGCAGGAAATGACGCATTATTTCAAAGGCCGAGTTCAGTGGTTTAACGGTGTCTTGTGGAGGTTCAACTTGCCATCAAAAACACAAACATATCGGGTCTCGCCATTTTAAAAGTCCCATTCGGCCTCTTTGCAATTTATCCGAAAATATCACAAAAGATACGCTTTGAATTTAAGTCTTCCTAAAGGCCATACCATGCTCGGTATACACCGAAGGACTGCAACCTCTAAACTAAGCAACATTTACCACCAGAGTTAAGTTACGTTGTTCTAGTTGGGTTTATTGGAACTGATCGACGGTAAAATATCGATTTCGGCATTACATTGTAGAAACATAAGAAAAAATTTTGAGAGGACAGTGCTCTATTGATATAACTACGATTTCTGAAACGTTATTCTACAGTAAACTCGCTCGTAGCCGTTTCTTGTTGTTGTCACGCAACGAGTTCTCACGCACGACTTCGGACGTCAGAGAAGCAAAAAAACAAAAACAAAAAAACAAAAAAGGCCCGGTTCCGTTGGCCAATGCCCGGCACACAGAAAAATTATACGAGGAAAGTTGTTTGTTCTTGTGCTTTGCATCTCGATTTCATTATCCAGTTCAGATCGCATTTTAAGCAACAAACGTCCATACGGAACCGTGACGACAATCGAGCGAAAGGCGATTGCGTGACTTATTTGCTGATGGCATATAGTAAAGTAGAAAGTTAGGATTATTTACGTCACTTATTAATTCAGAAGAAAATATATTTGTTTGGGGCTGAAACTTTTGGAAGCTCGTTGATTTCCAAGGTTTACTATGAGAAAGGGGAATTGGTCGTACGATTTTAGTTGTAAAAAAATGAAATGTACCTGTCCCTCCTTCACGTCTCTGTAAGAATGTAATGATCTTCTTTTAGTTGTAGTCATTTTTCTTTGGCCTCCCTTCAGTACTCTGTTAGAGACGACGGACCCTTCCCCTCCGTTCCCTATGAAAGCTATGTGATTTCCCCCCCCCCCCCTTCCCAAAAAAAAAAATCCCTACCGGCGATAACTGGCCCCTAATCCGTGGATTCTCACCCACCAATTATTCGCTAATTCATGATTGATGCTTTCTAATTGTTCTAACGCCGATAAAATTTTGAATTCTCCCCAATTAGATATGACATTGCAATGCTTCATTAAAATGCACAGTTGTGTTGATAAACTAAACAGTTAAGTACAAGATATTGGTTGACGTAAAACCATCTTCTCCGAACAAAGATGCGATGGGACGTATCGCTTAAAGTAAGGAGAGATCATATTTTTATTTTAAAAATTATCGGTGGATTAAGGTCAGTTACAGTAAAATTAAGACACTTGTTTAATCCAATTACCTGCTACACTGACGCAAGGGAGGTCGATAGCTGTCCTTCTGTCCCTGTGCGAAGCTGATTTCAAATAATGTCTTTGGGAAAGGTAAGAGAATAATTTTTTCATCTATAGAATTCTTTATTGACGAAAAAAAAAAACCGACAAATTCGATTTGAGCTTTTGAAAGGTAAAGAGATGCGAGTTTCATTTGCTTTCTTCTATCTACTCCAATCCTTGATTCAAAAGAAAAAGATAAGGTTATAAAGGAAAAGCGTATTCATATCTGAGGAAAATATTCTTGCTGAAGTTTTCAAACCACTTAATCAAGATGGAAAACGTATTCTAAATTTTTTTTATGTTTTCTTTGTCTTATATTTTATCTGATAGATTAGTGCTCCGTTTATGAAAACGTGGACGGCAAATTTTACCTTACAACAAATTTGCTTTTCTCCCAATCCGGCTATAACAAAAACTCGAGATCCAATCGAGTTCTTTTCATGGGGAATTCAATTAGTTTCAAAAATGGCTGAGAGTCTGACAAAAATTTCAAATCGTCCAATTTCCTGAATTGGTATTCTTCGTTGTGTATTTCTCATCCGGTTTTCGAAGATTCCACTCTCTGTTTCTCACGGTTGTGAACATTTTCCCTTGTTTCTTGATTTCATAGGCCATTATGCTCGAGGGATGGAATTTTTAGATAATATCTTGCTAGCATCCTCGGAATTTTATGCGGCGCTATCTCTAACTGTAGCTTTTAAGGTTGGTGGTGTTACTTTGAGACCTCTACAACACGAAGTTTGTCGTGCCATAAGAGCTGTATGAAGATGTTCTTCTAAACTGACTGTAAAGTTGCTTTTTTTTTTTTCTTTATTTTGTTTTGTTTTGTTTTTGTCATTTTTATTGTTGTTGTTGTTTTTTTTTTTCTGCTAGGCTTTCGGTATCCTCGGATTTCTCAGTCTATGGATATGTCAAACTTCTTCAGGTACTTTGATATGTATGTAAAAATAATAAATTAATGACTTACAAAACCATAACGATTAAATGGATCATTCTTGGCAGGTGCATACTAATTCATACCTTTGATTGCACTCGGATGATCTTAACTTTTGGTAGCTTCGGTGAAGGGAAAGCGTTTTGAGCCGCATGTTATGAACATTTAATCAGAGAAACCTCCGATGAAACTTGATAGATTAAAGTCAGAATTCCTCTCAAGCCTTTTACTGAATTCCCAATAGTACCAACTTTCGTACTTTGCGGGTTTTTCCGTTTATAACAAAAGAAAACTGGTATTTGCTTGTAGCGGTAATTCTGATGCAAATATGTTTTTTTTGCCACAACAATTTTGTTCACGCGAGGTTTGAGGTTTAACAGTTTTCTTGGAAATTTTAAACTCTCAGTAGATTCACTTTGTTGTTCAAGCAATATGAGTTAGCATTGAGGAATATTTCAGCCGGTTGGAAAAATAAGAGCACAGCGTGCTATTTTTCTTATGTTTTTTTTCATTTGTCGGTGTTTTTCTTTCTGTTTATATGTTGTTGTTTTGTTTTGTTTTTTGTTTTGTTTTGTTTTTTTTTTGGCTTGTTTGTTTGTTGTAATTTTTATTATTCATTTTTGTATAATAGTGCTAACAGAAGAAGCTTAAGAAATGCAAAAATTCTTATTATCACATAAATACCATCATGCGGCAAAGAAGTATATAATTTTTTTTGTGAGTCATGTTACGCCGATTTTTAAAATGCAATTTGATCTTTTCAGTCGTCCCACAGCAAATCGTTTTTTCAAAGCAAAGTGACAATAGCATCATTGACATCAATAATGTCGTCCAAGTCGATGCGCCGACTGCAGAACTTCAACACCTCACAGTTTGCATGTGGCTTGAATTTCAAGACGACGGGCGCACAGTTGGGTTGATTTCTTGCTTATTCGGTGATTTGTATGAAATGGAAATCAGATACGCCAACAAAGGAAGATGGGTTCGTCTTCGAATTGAAGACGAGGAGCAGTAAGTTACCCACTGACCCCTAGAAAGAAAAGTAACGTTCCCCACGTCCCACCCAACCCCCCACCCTATAAGAAGTTATTTCTCTCCATTAATTCTCCTCACTGTCAAATCAAACACTGTCACCAATTTTCTTTTGGTTTTAATACTGCAAGGAGAATTCTACATAACGGTCTTTGATAGAAATGTTAGTCAGGTTAACCCTCTCACTGCCAAGATATTATTTAGTAATCCTCTTTACTGTCTGCAATACAAGTCTTAGGATGTTACATCTATGAACTGGGATTAGTTCAACTAATAATCCCTAAATTTATCTTTTTCTTTATTCTCATTACTTGTATACTTGATATTGTACTGATATTATGACGAGAAATTCTGTCTTGGTCGCACGTGAGAGTTAAGTCATCTCTCTGAAAGGGAAGAGACCTTTAGTGTATTGGCATTCATCCAGGGAGAGTAGCAACTCTTCTAGTTGCTTCGTCCTACAGAATTTGGGATAAGCTCCGGTCAGATGGGGCACTGGTTTCGAGTGCTGACTTAACCCTTTTATTCACCTTTGAAGCTAATTTGGAGGTAAAACAGCAACAACAAGAAAGCTAGCATTTTTCTTTTTCTTTTTCTTTTTCTTTTTTTGTATTTTTTTTTTCTCTACAGATTGAAACAGGTAACACCTGCTCTCGG